GATTGACGGTTTAGCGGATGGATGCGAATCGGTTTGGCGATTTAAAATTTTATAAATGTTCAACATAATTCAACTTGTACACTTCCTCAAAAAAAGAAGAAGAAAGTATTACAGTCAATGACTTAAAAAAAAATATTACAATCACCGCATAACTCATCCAAAACAAGAAAGTTTGAAACTTTAGAATATCACAATCATTGCATGCCTCATTCACATACTACAATCACAGCATGCTTCATCCACATAAAGTATTACAATCTGTGGTTCTTAAAATATAAAAACAATTCAAACAACCAAAATGATGAACAGAGCAGTAATAGAGATTGTATGTCTCTGTATTATTACATCTATATCTGTTTTTGAAAACAAAAACCAACCAGTACATATCATATTTTCTATTTATTATTTTTAGAGATAGATTTAAAAACAAAAAAATATAGATAAATAATACGTTTATTTTTTTCAATTCAAAAAAGATATTTAAGTTGAAAACTTTTTTTCAACAGAATATTTAAACTCTTTTTTAATTGAAAACACAAATTAAATATTTAAACAAACTGAAAACATAAAGTTCTATAAATTATTAGGGGTGCTCGCGGTTTAGCGATTCAGTTGCGGCCAAATGAATCTCAAATCTGCCATCCGTCTGCCAGATTGACAGATTTGAGAAAATCAATCCGCAATCGTCTGCTCGTCATCACGCATCCGTCCAAAATGCGGCGGATTGGTTCAGTTCGGCCGGTTTTGACGAATCGGTATATCCGCTATTCACCCCTACTTCATAATAGTAGCAAGAAGATATTGGCCAAGGTCGCAACATTTGCCAACCCTTTTTTGAAGTGTCACAATTCATACTACATAGCAAGAAGATATTGGTCAAGGTGATAACATTGGCTAAACCTCAATCAAGTATGACTCCTAATTAATTGATTCTGAAGTAGAGATTTAACTCTTAAATTGGGTTACGACTCATTAGGAGATTTATCCCAACCAAATTTGGGGAAGATTCTATACCAGTTAGGAAAGTCGAGTTTAAGTTAAAGAGGACTCCTAATGAGGAAAAAAAAAACTAAAATTTAACGGCAATTTGCGCTTGCCCCAAGTTCAATTTGTTAAGATCAGCCTTGGACATACATTATAACCTCTTTAAATTGATACTCAATAAATTAATAATTTCTTTTAAATAATAAAATTGTCGAGACCAACATGCTAAATTAATAATCTTCATAAAATTATAAGATAATACATTTCAAATATTTCCTTCGTATTTTATATACCCCGAATATTTTATAAATTAATATTTAGCTAAAAAGTATATAATACATTTCATCTGTCATAGTTCTTTTTCTTGACACTTTTGAATTGAGAAACTATTTTTGCTATTTTTGAACTAAAGATACCAAATAATAAGGGATTGTGTTGGGTTAAATAATATCTGATTTGATTCAATTCATTGTATGCATTTGTTTTAAATAAGTTGAATATATTTGATCTTTATGCTAATTAATTCAATAAACTCTTAATTGGTTAAATATATAGATATATCTTATAATACTTTAAATCTTAATTTGGTCACTTGATGTGATTAGCAAGTTCATCAAACCTTAATATGAGAATAAATATAATATGTTCATTGATAAATTGATAACTTCCTAAATTAATAGAATTTAGATGGTCTCAAGGCTACTAATTTAAAGAGGTTAGACTGTATAAAGTTTGGGTTGTAAGTTAAGCGCTTAGGCAAAGACAACTTTTAGTACAAACTTGGGCTAGGCCTAAGTAGGCTCTCAACCTACTAAGCCCATTCAAGTTGTACCTTCATTTTTAACTCTGAGAATCGACATCTATGCAAGTTTTATAATAGAGTGTCGAATATATGCATACCATAAGGTGGACAAACATCCATTCAATTTGTCAAAATTGAATAGCCTGAATCAATCCGCCCGTAATGGACAATTTCAATAGATGTAGATGCATTTTTTCTAACATCGTTGAGAAAATGAAGTTAGGTTTTTTTTTTATGTTAATTTTTTTTATTTAATAATTATATTTACTATTTATGAAATATGAAAATTTACTCTTTATTTTTATTATAAAAAATGAACAATAAAAAAAATTGAGCGCAAAATAATAAAAATTACTCGAAAATAGTTAGAAAAAAAGGTCCAAAATAATAAAGTCCAAGTTGCTAAACCAATCCACTCATCGACTTAGAAATGACAACGGGCGGGACCAGGACTGGGTATCACATTTCCTGTCATTGATCCCCGTTCGATTTGTCAAAATTGAATAGCCTTGAATCAATCCGCCCGTAATGGACAATTTCAATAGATGTAGATGCATTTTTTCTAACATCGTTGAGAAAATGAAGTTAGGTTTTTTTTTTTATGTTAATTTTTTTTATTTAGTAATTATATATTACTATTTATGAAATATGAAAATTTACTCTTTATTTTTATTATAAAAAATGAACAATAAAAAAAATTGAGCGCAAAATAATAAAAATTACTAGAAAATAGTTAGAAAAAAGGTCCAAAATAATAAAGTCCAAGTTGCTAAACCAATCCACTCATCGACTTAGAAATGACAACGGGCGGGGCCAGGACTGGGTATCACATTTCCTGTCATTGATTCCCGATGGTGGAAATTTCCCCTTCTCCGGTCCCGATCCTCGACGGGGAACCTATCACCGCCCCTAGCCCCTAATGAGGATCGGGTTTCCCCGATCTCAAAAATTCGTCAGATCTGAGGAACAAAAACAACATATTTAATATATATAAATATGGATAGATTTAACAACAACAACAGATTTAACAACAACAATAATAACAAATTTAACAACAACAACAGATTTTATATTTAACAGATTTATTCAGCTCCAGATCTGAGGATTATCAACAACGACACACCCATACACTAGATTTAAAATATATATTCAATGGATCTAATAGATCTGAGCTCAAATGTAAAAAAGAGAGAGAGAGAGAGAGAGAGAGTAGAAATGATGAAACCCCAGCATATATATTCGACAAATTCAACAAATTCAATAATAGAAATGGCAAAACCCTAGCATACACCAGATTCAACAGATCTAACATATATATTCGAAACTCTAGCCTTAGATAGAAATGACAATGGGTCTGAAGAAGGACTCCTAAACTCGGATCTGATCACCAGTGACCAGAACTTCCAGGTCTAAAGAACAAAAGCAAAAAACAAAGAGAAAGAGAAAAAGAAGAGAGAGAGAGAGAGAGAGAGAGAGAGAGAGAAAGAGTATCATTTGAAAATTGACGGCGAGGGAGCATGAGTAATAGCCAGAAGAGAGGCAATTCGCGCGTAAGAGATGATGTTGAGCTGGTGAGGGAGTTTGGAGAAGGGAGACGACAGCGGTAAGAAATGAGCAACCGAGCGACGGCGACAGTAGTCGTGTGATGTGAGCAGAGAGAGAATACGATGTGTGTGTGTGTCTCAGTGTCTCAGTGTGAACCCCTAACCCTAGAATAAGAAAAAGAAAGAAAGAAAACATACACATATATATATTCAGGGGTACAATGGTAATTTCATATCGAGAAATCGGGTACGGGACTGGGGGCGGGCCGTGTCCCGGGTTGTGGAACATATCACCGTCTTCAATCTGAAAATGGTTAGGGATTCATTTTTGAATACCATCTCCAGTCCATCAGGAATAATTTTAGGGAAAAAACAGTTTTAATCAAAATTGAAGAGTCATGTCCCTGTTGGGTTGGTTTCAAATTTATATTCCTATATTCACTAACTAAATAGATGGATGTAAATTAATTTTTTTAATTTTCATAAATTCAAAAGGACGATAAATAAGAGGTCATTCGACCGAATCCAACTGGCAATATCACCGTAGTAAACAAAACAGGGGTAATATAATATTTATTAATAATTGAGGGGCGTTGATGTAAAATAAACCCCCCTAGGAATGGCAACTGGGCGGGGTGGGGCCGGGGATCACTCTCCCTGTCCCCCGATCCCCGACGAGGAGCCTATCACCGCCCCCGTCCCCGTCCCCAATGGGGATCGGGTTTCCCCGACCCTGATAATTCCCCGGCTAAAATTAAAAAAAAAAAAAATCAGTCCATACAGATCTGAGCTGTGAAATCAGTCAATAAAAATAAAAAATAAAAATCAGTCCTTCAAAATAATCTATGAAATCAGTCCATATATTTACACACTCATCAACAACAACAACATCATCAACAGATCTGTGAGAGCATAAAAAAAAAATCAGTCCATACAGATCTGAGCTGTGAAATCAATCCATAAAAATAAAAAATAAAAACTCTAATACATGATTCTCTTCAACTTCATCTTCATCAGATCTGGGTCAGGGAAACCCGATAGAAGCAACGGCATGGAGGACGACGGCGATCGAAGGGAGGCACAGAGATCGGTGTGAGGCAGATCGAAGGGAGGGAGAGAGATCGGCGTGAGATCGGAGGAAGGGAGAGAGATCGGGGCGTGGAGCAGTGAGGTCGGAAGGAGGGAGGTCGGCGTGGGAGGGAGGGAGATCGGCGTCGGGAAGGAGGGAGATCGGCGTGAGGGAGTGATGGAGGAGATGAGAGGGAGGGAGATGAGAGGGAGGGACATCGGATGAGGGGGGGAAGGTTTGAAAGAGAGAGATAGAGTGACTAAACTCAGTCCATACAGAATAGGTTTACGTATTAGGAAACATATATGTATAGCGAGGGGTGTAACTGTAATTTCAGTTCGGGGCAAACGGGGACAGGGACGGGGCGGGGGCCGGGCCGGGGCTGGGAAAGGTATCACCGTCCCCCGCCCGAAAATGATCGGGTATTTATTTTTTAATACCATCCCGACCCGTGAAGAATTTTTTTCGAGAAAAAACCGTCATATTCGAGATCGAGAGATCGGGTTCCCGTCGGGCTGATTTTAAATTGCCATCCCTATCCCCCTCTCCCCAAGAAAAAAGAAAAAAACCGGGCCGGGCGTGTCAGTATTTTGGAGTGTGGGTGTCGGGTTCGGCGTTTCTATGTCCTGAAGCGTGAAACCAAAACCAAAGCTGAAAAGGGGACGCAAAGGAAGAGCTCAATACATTGCCCTAAAAACCACGATCGAAGTCGTAGAGCATTGCGATTGCGAATGCGAATGAATGCGAAGCAGACATAGGTCACCCGCTTGTGAAGTCCTTGTCTTCGTGCTTCAATCGACTCACTGGTAAGTCCTAATCTTACCAAGCTTTTTATAGATTCTGAACCGATGCCTTAGACGACCTCGCTTCGCCCAGAACTGTTGACTTTTGGTAGTTCTAAACGGTTGAGTAACTAGTATTTTTCAACTGGGTTTGTGCCTAAATTTGCTCCTCTTGGGAGTTTTAGATTTTTAGGATTGATTCAGTAAATGGGTTGTGTTTTTTTTTTTCTTCTGCATTTTATTTATGGATGGGTGCTTAACATTTAAAATGAGGTTTTGTAGTCACTGTTAATTGTTTTTCTATAATTTATTCAAATATGATATAGAGGGTTGCAAAATTTAGTACATATTGATGAATGCGGTGTGTGAATTTTGATAGATTATCCAATTATAAGTTGGGTTTTGTTTAATTTAACTCTCCACATTGTTTTAATTGCTGAGCCTTTTTCCTCATTACTTGTTAAAAGCTTTGACCTGAGATTAGTGAATGCATTAAATAAAGGTAACTCACAACATTTTCCAATGTCCCTGGCTTTTTTTTTTTTCTAAATTCTCTCGGTGTGTCTTCTGAAATCCAGCTATTATGTCTGTGTTGTAATGGATGAAGACTGTATGGCAGATGCTGAATGAGCGTTTAGTGGTTTTAGCAAGAACAGCCCATGCATAAGGCAATTAAGTCCATTGCAAAGTGGCATTGAAACTATGAAGCTAAATGTTTAGCAATATATGTAAGGGATAACTCAATCTGTGGGCTCCACAAATAAGGGATCCTAAATAAGAAGTGAAACTAAATGTTTAGCAATATATGTAATTGTAAATTTTGATTTTTATTTGGGCATGACTTTCTGGTTTTATATATTATTTGCTGTCAATTAAGTTAGTAAGTTTACAATGAAATGGTCTAAATCTAATTACACGGTATCTCCCTTGAGGTTTCTAACAATATAGAGGCCTTATCCGAGATTTATGAAATCACACTACCTCATTACTTCTCCTGACAACATATACCGACCTCCGTTCCGTTAGTTAACCCTTATAATATGAATAGAAAATGCTGATGGTAGCATTTGAAAATTTGAAAGTGCCAATTTGACCCTTGATTGTGTCAACGGAATAAACTCATGGTCAAACAAGATCTTGTGGACTCTTTCTCAGAAATCAACACCAAGAAAATTATCAAACAATTGATGCGAATCTTGCACCAAACAAATTATTGACTAGACTTTCAAGAAGAGCATTCAACGAGAGAGCATATGGAGCAGTGGCACTATATATGTTAGTGGTGATTTGGTTCAAATGGGGGTTGAAATGGAAGCAAAAATTGTGACATAATGATGACTAGGCTCTCTGCATTTTGTAGCAATGGGGATTTGTAGAAGCTCTTATGGTTTGTGCCACATATAACCATTTATAAATAATGGCATTTTAATATTTCCTAGCCTAAACACAATAACTACTGTAAGTTGGCTTGTGTTGGGGACATAGTGATGGATTGGCAATTTGGCATGGGGGTTTGATTTGTGGTAAGGTTGAGTCATAGTGGATGGTTATGAAAGTTGGTGTAATTGAAGGTAGAGGAGGACTATTGCAAAGAGAAATAGAGAAAAATAGAGAGAGAGAGATAGAGAGAAGAGGAAGGAGTTGGCAATGAGGGTATGACATATGGTGGCCTTGGGTTCATTTGGCGGTGGCCAAATCAAGGGTGACAGTGGGCTAAGTTTAATGTCGTTTGTCAGGTTAGGAATTTTATATTGGCAATTTGGCATGTAATTTTTAGAAACCTTAGGGGTGGTTTCCATATTTGTTAAAGACCTAAAGTGAGGTTCGTGTAAACAAATCAATTAAAATGTCTTTTTTTTTTTTGGGCAAAAATATAGAGGAGATGGATTTACAAATGCTTGAGACGATATGGGTGGGTCTTCAAATGGTGTTGAAGATAGGGTATTGGTGGGTGGAAGCACTAAGGTTCCTCATTTAGTTGTTTTGGAGAAGTTTTCTTTCGTCCCCAAGTTTGCTTGGTGGTGGTCCTTCATTGTTCTTCTATGATGTCCTTGGGGGTTGATTGCTTTGGGACAAATGATAGCTCCAGTGAAGATGTGTCTAAGGAAAGAGGTAAAGAGTTGTGCCTTTGCTAGGAAGGTGTGATTTGACCCTACTGTTATTCTTTTGGATTGGAGAGTTTTGAGGTGCAATCAAAAGGTTCGGACTAGGAATGGGTTGCTTGCGATGATGATTACGGAAGTAGGTGGTTGGTGTTTGATCCTAATGGTGGTTGGGTTGGGATGTTGGAAGGTGTTACTGCTCGGAGTGATCTCTTTGCCTTGTTGGACTATCCTCCTGTGGGGAGATGAGACCAGAGACAAATTTTGATGTTGCAAACTTGTTTACTAATGAGCCGGTGCAACTTGCAGAAGTGTTTAAATGGGTGCCTAACTGAAAGGATGTGAACAAATTTTTGGGAGTGTCTTTTGAAAGTTATGAGGAGGTTATGAGGCTGTTCAAAGCAATTGAGGGTAAGAGGGGTGCTGGTGCTTTTCAAAAGAGTTTAGAAGAGGGGTAACCCAAAGAGGAGATCAGAAAGGAAGTTGAGGAATTCGTAATGCTCCAATCAATTATGAGAGGCGTAGGGAGTGAAGTAGTGAAGTGCTTGTATTAAAGTGAATGGATCTTTTTTATTGTTAAAATGAGAATTAAGATTATCAATTGGGATGCGAGGGGGTTGAATGCAGAGTGGTTGAAATCATCGTTTAGAGATTCTTCAATGGATTCAGGTAACATTTCTTCTTTACCATCATTGTCTCTTTGGTTCTCTTTGATTGTCTCTTCGCTAGTGGTTCTTCTTTTTCAATCTGGTTATTCCTTTCATCCCTTGTTCCATCCTTCGGATTTTCTTATTATTTCTTTAATGTGCCCTTTCAACTTTTTTCTATTGAACCCTTTACATTTTCCATCTTCATCTTCATCCTCATCCCTTGTTATTGTTGATTTCTCATTTTCTTGTGTTTTGAAGTTTCTATTCTACATTCCATTTTGTCCTTCTGCATCTCTTCGTGTCGATCCATCTCTGCATTTTTTGAGTCTTACAGTGATACCCATTATTCCAACAATGACTTCTTATAAGAATGGAGCAACATATTTCAAGATTGAGCAGAAAATATTTCTCGTACAAGTTAATGAGGTTTCAAGGGGTGAGATGATATCCATAGCTGAATGAAATAGAAGTAACAACTATGGTCAAAGTGGATCTTGGTACTGCGTATTGGGTGATTCATGTGCTAAAGGAGGTTGTTAAGTTGTTCCATGAGTTTTATTTATTTATTTATAAATATGGGTAGAGAGGTATTCCAACTGCAATGGGGTATTTTATTAGTTTTCTATGTGGATTGGTTGCCGGCAAAAAGCCCACATTATTGTTCTGGCTGGTTGTCAGCTTCAAGGATGGAGTAAGATGGGTGATTCTATCACCAAGTGCTTACAAACCTATTCTCTTCAACAGTGGTAAGGATGCTAAGAAGTGGGGAGGAGTGGAGGCTACAGAGTCTTCAAAAAAGCAAAAAAACACGAGAGAACATCGCATTATCATTTCCGAATTGCTACTGCAACATTTACGAAATGTTTCTGTTTCTCTGCTAGTTGAAACAAAACATGAATTTTGTTTTTTTGATCCTTGAAAGCATTAGGGAGGGGAGTTTGTATCTCGGAGGAAAAAGTGGTGCAGGAACTACAAGTAAGACCAAATGGTATGTGGACGGGACAGGAGGGCAGTTCTGTAATTTAATTTTGAGGATAGTTGAACACTAGAGGCAATATTGGATGACTCCATAGGAGAGTGATGTGGCCCATAGAAACGAGATCATGGGTGTGAATAGTGCCAACCTTAGAGGAATTTTTATAGCTAAGCTTTTGAGCATTTTATTTTTGTGCCCTTTTTGCATCTGTTGTTGAAGCATTCACATTCAAATCACTGGAATCAATTTTGTTTTTGCAAGTGTTATCAATTTTTCATTCACAAACTTCATAATTTATTTGTGCTGTGTAATCATACTATATTTAGGTATTATAGTCACTGCATGGATATACGACAAATTTAAATGGTTTTTTAAGAATTATTATTGTTATTTGTTCCAGCGCATGAATTTGCTTTATTTTAAAACTGTCATTGATTCTTTCACTAAAATTATTAAGTTCTAATATCTTATTGTGGACAACATGCTTCCACTATTAGTGTTTTGCTTGACCTATTTGTTGTGCATCTGCTAACGAGGTTGGGCAGTTAATATGTTTATTCTTGATTTCATTTGCAGAAATTATTGCTTGAAATCTTAAGATATTTAGAAGGCCTGTTTTGTAATATTGTGACTTAAATAAGAGATGGAGAATAATGACGGGGTAGTGGATGATGTTGAGAGTGCTTCTAGTGATTCTTTTATTGACGACTCAGATGATGACGGACCTTCAGTATCTGCAGAAGATGATGGATTGCATCTTGAGGCAAGTCAATATTGACCCTTTTATTTGTCACAAGATTTTCTAAATTTTTTACATTAAGGATGATATGATAGTTTGGTGTTCTGATGTTTCTTTTTTATGCTTTTTGTTATTGTTTTTCTTGAAATCTGTTAAGCGTTCATCATAGTTATTTTCATCCTCCATTTTTCTTAATGCAGGCATCCTTAACCGAGGAAGAAATAAATGAGCTAATTGCTGAACTGTTGGAAGTTGAGAGCAAGGTATAATTTTCTTTGCTTGTTTTTCTTGTTCAGTTAGTTTTATTTCCTTCTATTTCTACTTTTATTTTTTGGCTCTCTCTCATTCTCAATTTTAGGCTGCAGAGGCTCAAGAATCACTCGAAGATGAGTCACTAGCAAAAGTGGAGGTTGAAGTTCGGCAAGAATTGGCGCAGTCTCTTCAGGAAGATGATGTTAGTTGACTGCCCTTGTACCTATGAAATCTCTTCTAGAATGCTTTGTTCTTGTCCTTTACTGATGTTCTTTTGTGTGTTACACAGCTTGAGAGGGCTGTTGCTGATGAAATGGCAACTTTCAGAGAAGAGTGGGAAGCTGTGCTTGATGAGCTTGAGAAAGAGAGCGCGCAATTGTTGGTCTGCTTCTTTCTTCAATTTTTGAAATTAATATACTGGTGGCTGTTTTGTCTTTTATACCATTGCATTGATTATGAGCCCATTAAAGTTGTAGTTTTAATAGTTAACGGATATCATGTTAATTTCAATAATTGTTGGACATGAGTAGTAGTCATAATCTATGGTTCATAAATTGGGTCAAGTAATGTTATTTAGTCCAAGAGTTACCAAATATTCTTAATTTCTAAATTAGAGTTCTAGTCGTAAGAAAAGTCTAGCAGTTTATAAATAGGCATGCAATATTTTATTATTTTTATTATTACCTTTTTCTTTTCAAGATGAAGTTGCTATTATGAGAATCTGAGATTATGTTTGTGTTAATTTGCCTACACCTTACAAGGTGAAACACCACTTTACATTTCTTCTTCTTCTTTAATCCAAGTACTGCTCTCAGGCTAATGTTCACAAGAAACACAACCCTAAAAATTTTCACTCTTTGACCTAAAACCCTATTTAATCATACATACCCAATCAGCCGTAATTGAATCTCCTATGTATTGGCTTTAAACACCAAACAACTGATTGTTTAGACCGTTAGTAGCCTGTGTTACGAAAATCCGGTAAGCTGGCCACTTTTAAAATCTTACCAAGTAGAAACCTTTTCCTCCCCTCTTAGAACACTAACCCTAGAATTTTTTCATAACCAATACCCCCAATTTCTATTACAGGCAACAATACTCCTAGTTTCCTAAAGCTGTTGTGCATTAGTTTGGTAATAAAAGCTTAAGGATTCTAATTGTTTGTTGAATTTGAAATCATTGGAGGTGTAAGTAATAATGAGTTGCAATTCCTTATCAAAAGAAGTAGTAATGAGTTGCAAACTGAACTCTATAGTTTCTAAGAAAATGTACATGCTAAGATAGATAGTGTTGACTCGAGACTAAGAGGCTTTGATTTGAGAATGGGTTCGTTGGGGAACACCATTCAATCCTTAAAAGTTTCTATTGATTGTTTTCTTTAACAACAATAAGGTTGTGCAATAGGGCAACAAAAGAATGAAACTGTTGTGGTAATTGAAGAAATTCTAAAGGAGCAAGATAAACACATTGCCAGTGTCAAGGATATTAAGGAATTGAAAACTAAAATTGACGTTGTAACTAAAGAAGGCATGAAAGAACATTATGATCATGATTCTAAAGCCCAAGAAGTCAAAGAAAAGAGTGAGAATGCAATCGAACTTTGTACTCTTTACAAATAAAAGGATGTTTACCACTGTCCCCATCTAAACATTGATTTTATCATTTTTATAAATAAATTTAAGGACAAATTTCACTTTAACCCCTTGTGGTTTGGCTACGTGCACATAATCCCTTGTCATTTGAAAGTAAGCACATAAACCCCTTGTGATTTGTGACTAAAGTGCAACGTTAAGACTGTTGAAAGTCTTGAGCAAAAAGACTAAACTACCCTTGTACATAAGTAATCTCGTTGTGCAAACCATGGACATTTTTGTCATTTTTTGGAAGGCAAAGCCACTTTAACCTCTTATGTTTTACTTCATGTGTGGAAATGAACATTTACCCCCTTATTGTTGGACCTTTCACGTTTGCTATTAACTTGGATGGAATGCCTGATGGTGCATTTTAGTCCATAAAGCGTATTTTCCAAAATGACAGGGCAGGTAAACTGCACATAGAGGAAACCACAAGGGGGTAAAGTGAAATTTGCCATAAATTTAATGGAGTGCAATGAGTGATGAAATTGTTGACATTTTAATATTTTCATTGTTGTTTCAAAAAGATTAATTTGAATGAATGCAAGTTTGAGATTGTAGAGTCCTCACACTTCAACATTACTAAGGAATTTAGTCTTGGATGGTTTTAGGAGTCAAAATCTTTGGGATTGTGTGATGCTATTCAAAGCATGATACCTAAAGGAATCAAGCTTTGAATTTTTTTTGGATCAACAACAAAGGGAATATTAATAGTAAGGGAAAAAAGTACAACAGAGTGGTGGAGAAGAAGTCTGCCAAAATAAACAAAGAAATGAAAAGAGCATAAACTCATTGAGATTAAAAGCTAAAAATTACACATTGCTCATCAATCTCTAGAAAAAAAGAAAAGAAAAAGCGGGATCCCCTTAAAAGGTTTTGAAACCAAAGCCCAAGAAGAGGACAAATGGCACACTCTATCCCATAAAGAATCAATGTCCTCAAATTTGTCTTAAAAAAACCTTGCATCGTGCTGCAATCAAATAACCCAAAGAAGTGAAAAAAGAAGACACAGCCTCTCAAAGCCTTTACTTGTTGGTACCGAACCAGATATTTCACCCTTTCTATGCCCTTTAAACCCTACTTTATAAGCCCTGATTCTTTCTTCTTTTAATCATTCAAGTCTTCTGCCCAAAGAAGCAAACAACCACTGTCGCTGCTCACAGGGAAGAACAGCACCTGAACTGCTGTTTTTCTCCATTTAAATTGGCCCCCAAACCAATATTGGTTCTGCCCATCTTTACTAATTCTTAGAGCTCCACAATTTTCCCTACCTTTCAGCCCTAAAAACTAGATATAATCAGTCCTAACAAATCCCTCCACTGCTGTCCCTAACTAATTTTACATCGAAGTGTGTAGGAGGGTCTCTTCACTCATCCTGCACATCAGTTCCCTTGACTAGATTACTTGGTTTATGCAGTTACCTATTTTGATGTTCATGTATATGCCATCCAAGCTTATCTTTTCTTCATTTGGACCAATTTGCTAATGGAATTAGATTTGAAACATCTCCTCTTCCCCTGGCTTACAGCTCTTTTCTGAACATCACTCATGTTGCAAGAAAGCCTTCCTATTTTTGATTTGGAGCTTGTATTTACTCTACTCTTTTAATTATTTAGCAATAAAGTCAAGTTGCATCGTTGTATGTGATTATAAGCCAATAGTATTGCAAATACAAGCTGCTGGACTTGATGCCTATTTTTAAAATCAATTTTACTTGCATTTCTGATGATTCTCCCCTTCTTTTATAGTTCATTTTTACTTGCGTAGCATTTCATCTGTGTGCTTCTTGAACCAGGAACAACTTGAAGGCGCTGGTGTTGAACTCCCTAGCCTCTATAAGTGGATTGAAAGTCAAGCTCCTAACGGTTGCTCCACTGAAGCATGGAAAAGAAGGACCCACTGGGTAGGATCTCAGGTTACCAGTGATGTGACTGAATTTGTGTCGGATGCTGAAAAGTATCTTCAGACACACAGGCCTGTCAGAAGGTATATTATTCTGCCTTTTCGGTATTAGAGATTCTGCAGGGCAAAGGTTGATTTCATATGATGGATCTACTTGTGGGACAGGCGACATGGCAAAGTATTAGAGGAGGGTGCTGGTGGTTATTTGGGAAACAAACTTTCTGTCGATGAGAGAAAGGAAGCTATAATGGAAAATTCTGATGTGGATTGGTGCTCTTTCAACAAAATAGTTTCTGGTCATACATCTGAGCAGAGTACTTCATTTGGCAGCAAGCATTGGGCTTCTGTTTACTTGGCCAGTACTCCTCAGCAAGCGGCAGAATTGGGGCTCAAATTTCCTGGAGTTGATGAGGTGATGTATATGGGTGTGATTGCTGTTTTTAATAGTTTATGACATAACAGCTTGGATGCTTTTATCACAAGCACTTTTGACTTTGTTAATTTTGTATCTGGTATTAATTGTTAATGATTTGTTTAACACATTTTGATTCACATTAGAGCTGGGTTTTACCTTGTTAGATTTTATCAATTCAAGTTTTGTAAATTGTTAATTATTTCCGAGAAACATACTACAATATGCCAAGTACAAAACAATTGCACTTAGGCAATTTGCCTCCTGTAATTCCAATTGTTAGACAAGTGCGGATCAAAATTACATTTCAGTTAGCTTGGAAACAGAAAATTTTTGCAAACATTTATGAAACATAATGGAGTGAGTGGCTTAATCATACTTGTTTTATCTTCTCTTTTCTAATTTCTCAGATTCTCTAATACATTTAAGATTTTTCTTTATTCTCAAATAATTTATTTTGAAAAAAGAGGCAAATAGAAATGACATTGCTGAATATTCTTAATGTGTCAAAACAACTCAATGTTTCAAGTGTTCAGTGTGTGCTGGTAGGTTTTGGTGGAAATATTGGAATTTAGGTATTGCACTAATTTTTCATTTTAGTTTCATAGGAAATGGAAAACTTTTGGCCGTTTTGATGGACATGAAACAGAATTTTGTTCCTTGTAGGCAATTTCATTTTATAATTTTTTTTTAAATAGTGATTTGTAGGGGCACACAATGCCATATGAGTCATAATAGCATAGCAATTGTTTATTTGTTCCACAAGCAGGAAATTTATTGTCATTTTACCCCCTTTTAAGGTGTTTTTTTCCTTTTGTTTTCTTAAATAGTTGTGAATGACATTTTTATTGGTTACATTGGGTTGCACATTCTCAGTGTCTTTGGAGGGTGTTGTGTCAAAGGAAAAGGATTGTATTTGATCATCTCATTCTTTTGTTTTCTTAAATAGTTGTGAATGACATTTTTATTGGTTACATTGGGTTGCACATTCTCAGTTTCTTTGGAGGGTGTTGTGTCAGAGGAAAAGGATCGTATTTGCTCAATTCATTCAATTCTCATAGGAAGGTTGGTTTTCATGTACAAGAAAGAGTAATGTCAAAGAAGCGAACATTGGGAATTGGCATGATTTCTAAGTGTGGCCTATCAAAACCTTGCACAGTCAGGTTTTGGTAGCATTTATGGTTATTGAGTTTAGTATGTGAGTTTTCTACAGGTTTCTTTTGCTCAGGAGTAAAGGATATGCTGGACATGTGCTAAGTTATGGTCCTTGGGTCGTAGTGTCATGCTGGTGCTGGAAACTGTTGATTAGTAGCCAATTTGGTACAAAATGTAGTTAGTTAATTTCAAGGTGCTAAAGTGAAGCATTCAGTTATCAAGAATAGTGAAGCATGCAGCCTTTCAACATGGATTAAAAAATGTAGTTGCAGGCTTAATGGGTTCATGAGGCTTCTTTCTCTGCCTTATTGGGTTGTTAATGAAATGATTTCGTGAAGGTATTCTGGAGTTTCTGTTGAATAAAATCATTAAGGTCCACTTATTCTTTCTTTGTTGCTTTAATTCCAAAGTGGATGGCATTGTGAGCACAAAATACTTTACTCCAATCAATTTAGGATGTATGAAAATCTTTACCTAGATTCTTAGATTGGGGGAAGTTCTTCAAGATACTAATTCTTTTGTGTCGGACAACCTTTCTTGATGGAAGACAAATTTTGAACTCAGTTACTAATGCTAATAAGGCTATAGAGGAGTGTAAGAAACGCACTAATGTACAACTGTTTTTTTTAAATATATTGTATAAGGCTTTGGGTTATTTCTAAAGTGTCTATGGCTTTTCCATCTCATGATGAGAAAGGGTTTTGACTTGAGATTGGGGCTTCAAATTACTGTCCTCCTTGAGAAATGGTTTTTCATCTTTAGGTCACCTTTACCTTTCTCTTATTGCATACTTAAATTGAACTTCTTTGTTTTTGTAAGAAATTTTGAGAGAGAGAGAGAGAGAGAGAGAGAGAGAGAGAGAGATATGCTATGTTATCTCCTAATTCTACTATTTTTTTTTTTGATATTATTTATAACCAGTTGTCCGGATCATCTTCTGTGCACCTCGACTAATTCCGGGGCTTTGAAGTTAACGACCGGGCAAACCTCTAGTGGCCCCTTGGGTTGACTCGAAGAAGGGACTCTTAGAGCTTGATATACATTGTTAATCCTGTTCCTTAATAGCTTAAGCCTTTGAGACAATTGGTGATCTAACATAGTCAATTTAGTCTTGTCAAGAAATGGCATGTGTAAGGCTCAGATGAGATGCCAAGACAACATGGCCAGCTAGCTTGTACTTCATACGACCAAAACTTTTTAGAACCCGAATTGATGATTGAAGCAATGAAATTCAACATTTCATATTGGTTTAAACTATTTTTGTTCTTTCCAACATTGTACTTGTCTTTTAATTCTTGATTTGAATTTCCAATATTGGTCAACTGTTCTCCATAATTTTTTTTTTCTTTCATGGTCAGGTGGAGGAGATTGATGACATTGATGGCGATTCTAGTGATCCTTTTGTTGCAGACGCTATAGCAAATGAAAGAGAAGCAGAGAAAAATTTTAGGAAGGTTTGTTACTGTTATTCCTTATGATGATTATATATTTTCTTTCAACCGTTCTTTAAGTTGATCATGTAAAACAGAGAAGCCTTTGTTGATTTTCCTATAATATATAATTGATTTAGGTCTTTTAATTGTCCTTTAAATTGCTTATACCGCATTAATAATGTTCTATATGAGGAAATCATATATTCTATTCAATTCTCATGAAGAGAGGGGGAAGATGGAAGATTTATTTTGGCGTGGACTATGTTGTCAAGAACTTCAAGGATCTAAACCATGAGATATGACAGCATATCACACGAAATAATGTTTCTGGTATTTGATGTCAGGATAACAAATAGATGTGTGGGGGGTCAATTCAAACAGGTTGTTGCATATTTACATGCTGGTTTTGGTTAAACTTATGAGAGGGTACCACATTGTTTAATGGGTTTCGTAGGGGTATGGACTGGAAAGAGGTTTTATGGGCTCTTTGAATTGGGTCTTTATACATGGTATGTTGAGCCCACAGATTGAGCCCAGTTCTGGTAAGAATTGCTCGAGTAAGGCTAGTAATGCTTAAGGTATAAGACCAGGAATGATTGATGTTTTTGTGGTTAGAGGGCTAACTGCTTAGATGTGGTTAGAAGCGAAAGCAACATAGGTGTGGGACATTTAGGTTTGGTAGCAAATGGGAGTGGTTTGGGTTAGGATAGTAGAGGTGGAAGTCTAGTTGTCATATTATTAAAGTAGACCTAAAATTAATTAGATGAGCTTACTTAAGGTGCCCTGCTGCTGTTAAAGGCTGAGGGAATGTGGGAAGGAATTGATACAAGAGGTGCTGGGATTGAGGTGAAACAAGTGAAACAGCAACCTCAGGGGGTCTCAAGTTTGTGTTGGAAACTGAAATGTTGATACTAGGGTAGGCCAATGAATTGTTCCTTGGGCTTCTACTATTGTCAAGGCCCTAACCCTATCGGCCCCATTATTAAAATCCTTGTTTAAATTCAATTTAGAATTAATTTGCAACCTAACCTGATTCACACCAAGAGGTTGAAAATTAAAATTTTTAATCACACTAACCAACTTATTAATGAGTTGGCCTGTTTGAGTGATCTGTGATCTTCTTACCTTCTGTGTGACCAAAATTTCTGTTTGTCCCTACCTAAATTTTGCTACATCAGCCATTCCTAGGCCTCCTATCTTCTTCAACTTTCGAATGATTGTATGAATTTCCTGTGCTACATTCTCTGCAACTCCAGTTCACATCAACTGCTTTTCCTCAATGGTTGCATAATCTCCTTTAGCCTTCCTTGAACTTCTTTCTGTCTGCCAAAATGTTGACAGTAGCCAGAATAAACCCTGACTCGACCCCTGACCTCAATTCAAGCCTCAAAACAAATTTTCGAATTCATTGTTTCTGAGTTCAACTTCCACCAAACAACCACATGCCTCTCCAACTTTACTAGACACCTCACATCTCAAATACACCACAATTTAGCCTTCATAAGATACTATAACTTCATCTCAAATACAACACACTGGCTCCCATTTTTCTATCAACACCATAACATGTCCCCCCTAAAGAAACTTAGTTCTTTATGTCCAAGACCAGAAGCTGGAACATCATTTCTTGCCATAGTCGCAATTTTGTTTGTAGTCACGACTGTTTTCATAGTCAACAAGGTTGAAATTTCCAGGAAAAAAGCTTTAATTTGAGAGGGTGATCCTCATTCTCACCAGTTTTTCTGGTCTTTGGTCTCATTTTGGTTTCTTTAGTTTACTTTTTAACTTCTTACAGCCTATTCAATTCAACAGCGCCATTGCTTCAGGTTCTATAGCATCCTCAGTCATGCAAGATAAGCTGAAATTGCACCAAGCTGGCAACAAGGTCAATCAAAATTGACTTTAATGCTTTTACCTGGAGTTCACAGCTTGGGTTACATCAGGAGCCTGAAGTTTACACCCACAAATGGTCATGGGAACACTAATGAAGTAAGCATTGAGAGTAGCTTACATAACTTCACAACTAACTAAGCTTCTGGCCAAAGGACATGCAAGATTTGTGATCAATGAGGATACATGTTCTTTAAATTTTGATGAAGATGAATACCAGCAAATAACCAAATTGATGGTAGAAGAATTCTGAAGTGTGGAGCAAGCTTTTCAAAGGCGAATGCATAACGCAAGGCATTTTACCCCTTTTGAGGTGAGGATAAATATCGTTTGAATTTTGACAAAGATGAATACCAACAAACCACCAAATTGATGGTAGAGGAATTCTGAATTGTGCGGAGTCTGGAGATTAAATTCTTAGATCTCTACTAATTTTATTGTTTACTTTCAAATTGGTTGCAATTTGCATTTGATTTATTAGAAATAGGTTGTTGAGAGTGATAACAAGTTAACATAAATATCTCCAGTTCCAGTTACTAGCAGAGACTGAAATTTGGGGAAGGGATGGTAGGAAGGAGAGAAAATGGTTATTGTAGGGAATTAACGATATGTCCCTTTTTGAAAGAGGGAATTTATCATCCATGGAAAAAAATAATTTAGTGGCAGGAAGGAAAGGCGTGTTACTCTGTTTTGTCATTATCCCCTATATATTACCACAAGGGTGTTATCTGAAGGACAAAAATGAAAAGATATGGTTCCTCTCTCTCTCCTCTCAGTTGTCTTTGGAAAGGAAGTGACTTGGATGGAAATTTTCTCCATCATATCTTTTCCTGTCTTGTTCCTTTTGAATAAACAATGGAAACTTTCTCCATTTCCTCCCGTCATTTTTCTGTCCCACTGTTTTGTCCTACCAATTGAAGCACAAGCAATGTGATGAATGGTCATACATTAATCTCTCTCTCTCTCTCTCTCTCTCCTAAGAATTGATGTAAGTTCATGAGTGGGACGTTCATTGTATGCGCATACTTCTCATTTCTATGTGCTGATGATGAAATGTTTGCTGAGTGGTGAATCATTTGGATTGCATGATGTAGTAAGTAATCCAAGTATTTTGTGAGTGTGTGTTTGTTTACTATCACTTTAGTTACTAAATTTGTTGCGAGTATACATGTGCAGTATATTTTCTCTGATAATTGATAAGGTATACACTTGACAGGTCAAAGAGGAAGATGACGCAAATATTGATAGGAAGCTTCAGCTTCGTTTGAAACGTAGGAGACACAGAAACAGACACAAACAGGTATAGTGTTTGTGCTTTTTTAAAGCAGTTTGCTCCAGTCCTGGAGAGAGATTCTATTCTTTCTCTTACTTACACACTTGTCTTTTTCATTCTAATTTTCTTTTTAAGTTATTTAGAAATCTCTCTCTCTCTCTCTCGCACACACACACGCGCGCTTCAATAACCTCTAAGTATTATTTGTTTTTGTTTTCTTATCTATTCTCTCTCTTAAGTGTTATTAGTTATTAATTCTCTCGTGACATACACCTATCCCTTGCTTTTTATGTTTTCACTTAACGGAATTGATTCTCTTGTAAGTGGAATTGAGAAAGAAAACATTAATTAATCTTTCTAAAGTTAAGAAAATTGTTGTTGCTTTTTGAAAATTCAATTTAGTTTCACGTGTGACAATGGCATTGTTTTGCTGATTGTTTAAAAAAATTCTTTTACAGGCTATTGTTGTAAATTTTTGATGATAATATTCTTGTTTAGAATTGGTTAATTGAAGCCAAGTTTGAGGATTTGGGGGTTTTTTTGGGCTAAAAATTGGTATTTGGCATCTTTTTGGGTTTTGGTGTCTCCTCCGTTTAAGGGGATTATGTTATGTGATATTTTAATTAGGGTACTTTTGTACTTTGAACATTATGGAGTATAAATACATGTAATAAGGGAGAGAATCCTAATTTTGGGTGCTCTCTCATTCACCGTGTACTGTGTTAATTTCTTTTTTCTTTTCTTCTTTTTTTTTTTGGGTGGATAAATCTTTTCTTCTTCTCTTCTATTGATTCATTCATTCTAACTTGGTACTAGAGCCTATTGATTGTCCACAGTTTGTTTAGTGTGTGGGATCCTTGCCCTTGAATTTTTGTTGATAGTATTTTTTTATTTTATTTATGTGTGTTAAAGTAAGCTTCTATTTTCTTAGCAATAAATTTCTTCAAATACCATAACTTTGTATTAAAAAGTTGCTTATTTATTCAAAATATTTAGAAGCTACGTTAAATGGATTCAGGTTTAATGTGTAATACCTCAGGAGTAATTTCCTAAGATCTTTTATCTTTTTCGTATAATAAAAATGTTAAGAATTTGATATCTTACATATGTGCTGTTGGGGGATCTTATGCCCCTTTTTTTAACCCCTTGTAGACTGTTGTACTGGGGCTATGCCTTTTTTACAAAGTTTGTTACTTAATCAAAAAGGAAACAATTAGATGTTGGTCAATTATTAGTTCATTAAGTGTAGTGTGAAGTTTTCTCCTTCCATAGCGAACAATTTTTTTAATCTGTCTCAATGTTGAGGAGCCCTCTTTTTTAATTAAATCACATTTGTTTAAAAAAAATTTAGGTTCACTTACAATAATTTACGTAGATCTAATTAATTGTTTGTTGGATGATACAAATAATTATTTGAACTTAATTTACTTTGCATTACAACTTTCTAAATGTGTGCACACCATTGTTGTCAAATTGTGAATCGTTTTGCTAAAATAGTGAATCATAAGATTCACTTTGTTTGACATAATATATTACTTTTTATAATTTATCAAAAAAAATATGTATATATATAACTTTTTATATGTATATACATATAAAAATATACCGCGTTTACAATGAAATTAATATCAATATAACTAAATTGTAAATATGTATATATATGTAAATTTACGTTTATCAATATAATTAATTTCTCTATTTTATTTTGCAAACAAATAGAACTGAATTGTAGTGGCTCATAGCGAATTGTATTGAATCGCAAAGTGTCATAGATGGTGTTTGGAAAGTGGGTTTTTATGTAGATTTTGTTAGATGTAGGTTTTTATGAGATAAAAAATTTTTGGTGTTTGGGAAGATAGTTGAGTTTTTATGTGGTTGGATGTGATGTTTGTGAGAGAAAAAGTGAAATGATTATGGGGTTGGATGTGATATTTTGTTTGGATGTGATAATTAATTTCTCTATTTTATTTTGCAAACAAATAGAACTGAATTGTAGTGGCTCATAGCGAATTGTATTGAATCGCAAAGTGTCATAGTAAAACGCAATTGAATCGTAAGATTCACTCAATTTAAGATTTAACAACATGAATCGAACCATTTTTGTTGAAACTTGTATCAATCGTATGAATTGAATTGTGAATTGTAAGATTCTAACAACCATGACATGCACAGGCATGCCTTCTTGATGTTTTGTGGAGTTAATAAACAAAGAAACCTAGTTGACTGGATGGTGTAATTTATGTCAATCCAGAAAGACTAGTTCCTTTGCAAGTAGTTGTTGTTCTACACAATTTAATAAATATCCATGTATTGATGTATCCGTACAAGACACTCCTAAGAAGGCGCTGTGTCTATATTGCACCCTTCCTGATACATGTAGGATACGAGTCCAAACATGTCCAGTTATTATTATTTTATTTTATTATCAACTCGACATGCTGCGAACACTTGGAGGGGGCCTGTTTCCATTGCTTATACTCGCACAAGACACATTGCACGTTTGATAAAATATAAATTGGGTTCTAATGATTAAAATTATTGTGTGAATGTAATAATTAGTAATCCCTCCTCTTTAGGCTTTTTAGTTTCAGGAATTCTAAGGCCTAAATTTCTAATTTGTTTATAAACAATACTTTCTAAAATAGATATTAGGAATTTTTTTGTTCACACTTTTTTTTGTAATATATAGATTGTGGAAAATAATTTCTTACTATTTTACATAAAAAGTATAATAATTTTTTTCTATTTTATATAAAATAATTTTTTTCTATTTTATATAATAAAATTTAAGTATTTGTAATGTAAAAAAATGAAGAAATTGTTATGATTTTCATTTATATATATGAAGACATTTATTTGTTCTGTGTCGTGTAATGTCCTAGCTCTGTTTAAATATTGGTCTGTCTGTATTGTGTTGTATTTGTGTCTTGTCACTTGTGTCCTCATCTGTGCTTCTTTAAGTGTTCATCTTCTTTTCAAATCTTTGAAAGTACCTGCTTAAAGTGTGGTATAAACCAAGTTATCCTAGCAGTCTCACTCCAGAATTTGTTGAGCATCAGATTCTCTCGATTGTTTGACTTGGAGATATCCTTCATTAACCTTTGAACATAACTTGGTGACTCTTAAATAGATGTAGATATGTTTCTCAATATTGATTTTTTCTTTTGTTTTTGTTATTTAATCAGGAGGATATTCAGAGAGATAAGCTGATGGAAGACAATTCAGATGGTTTGACAACTGATGGGGGTAGTGAAGGCGTAATTGACAATAATAGGAATGATATGACATCCCAGAATTTAAAGCCAGATGTAGATGAAAACATTGAAATTTCTGATGATATTGACAAGAGAGAGCCAATTAGTAATGGTAGTTCTTTCGTGTTTTCTGAGTCTGCTTTGCCTGATCTAACTGAACCCAGGGGCTCCAAGCGTTCACATGACAGTGAGGAACTAGGCACTGATAGTAAGAAGACTTGCACAGTTATTATTGATAGTGATGATGAAGCGCATATTATGGGGGATAAATCTACTATTTGCATTGAGACTGTATTGGATGATCAATCTCATTTGCAAGAAGGATATGCAGATGATTCTCTCTGTGCTGGTTCTACTCATTCAAAGAGTTCGACTGAGAATTTTCACTGCACTGCTTGTGATAAAGTGGCTGTTGAAGTACAAACACATCCACTTTTGAAAGTAATTGTCTGCAGGGATTGCAAATGTTTAATTGAAGAAAAGATGCGTATAAAGGTATGAACTGTAGTCACAGTTGTACATATCAGCGACCTGATTCATTAACTGTAGCAATTATACAAGTACTTGGCTTGGCTGATAAAAATGCTAACTGGAAGATTATTGATCATAGTGAGTTACCGAAATAATTACAGCATGGACTTTAATGACATATAATCGATCCAATTCTAATACACTGGTTTAATGAAATGAAGTTTTCAAAAAATGAGTCTCTACTTCAACTATTGTTCTATTTGTGGGGAATGATTATTTATTTATTTTAATGTTTCACTATGTGTTGTTCATATGAGAAATAACTGTCTGGATTTGGTGGAATGTGCAATACGTTTACAGCTTCTGATTTGCAACAATGGAAAATGATATTTTTCTTAGGCTTATTGTCATGTTAATGAACCATTTCATTTGGTTCTGAAATTTTCTGTGGAATGTCTTGATTGATGATTGTTTGTAGTGTTTCATGTTATACCTTGTACTGATGTAATTTGCTGTGGCAGGATCCTGATTGCTTGGAGTGCTATTGTGGATGGTGTGGAGGAAACACGGACTTAGTGAGTTGCACGTCATGTAAAGTGTTATTCTGTAACACGTGTGTGAAGAGGAATTTAGGTGAAGAATGCTTGTTAAAAGCCCAGGTCTCTGGTTGGCAATGTTGTTGTTGCTCTCCAAATATCCTGCAGCCGTTGACTCTACGGTTAGAGAAAGCCATTGGATCTGGAGCTCCGATAGTGTCTAGCTCTGACAGTGATTCAGATAATTCTGATGCAGATATCACTGTTGCTATCAGGTAGTTAATTATTTGCTCCTTATTAAAAACAGTTGGTTGGTAGTTGTACTTAATTGTGTGCAATTTATGACAATTGAAGGTTTAGTGGAGTAGGTGAGGTGGATTTTAACAAAGTCTCTTCTTCTCTGAGCCTAATTTTAAAATTAAAAGTTAATTGAGGGTTTGCTTTTTTGGGCTAATCATGTTGCAATGCCAAAGAAAATCACATAAGACCTCATGAGAGGCTGTGTTCTCAAAGTCTAGGAGGCATACCAGGTCCACACTCCATGCTTTGATGTCCTTCTTATGTGCTCGACATGGAATTCGTACATAAACCAAGAAAATTGCTTCTACTAACTCAATTGACTCCTCACTATAACATATCCACTTGATATCTTTTTTTTTTTTTTTTTTTTTTTTTTGTGTGCCTGTTATATGGCTAACATAGTATATTTTATGTTTATGGTGTTGTTTTACAATGTTGAGAGTCCTTGTTGAACATTATTTGATGCCAGTTTATGTTTCTTTAACGTCCTGAGTTTTCAACTGGTCACATTTTCTCTGTTTCATTAGAGTTTACCTTAAGAGGTGAATTTGTAAGGCCTCACTGTCACATTTTTTAGAATCACAACTATTTTGATTCGATCTATTTGTTTCATACTTGTATTCTCCTTTAAGCACTTCAAGAACTTTATTTTTCAGTTTGAGGGACTTGGGTGCAAAGTCCAATCTTTTACAATTGACCTTCTATTTGTTCCAACTAGTTAGCTCCTATCTCAAAAGAATCTCTAAAGATTGATTCCTTTTGTATCAGCTCCAAAAGAAAACGGAAAAAGAATATCCGGAGAATCATTGACGATGCTGAATTAGGGGAAGAGACTAAAAGGAAAATTGCAATTGAAAAGGTATTTTCTATCAAATTGCATCACTTTTTTTTAAACAATTTTTCTTGGTACCAGATTATCTATAAGTTTCCCTATTTTATAGGAACGCCAAGAACACCTCAAGTCTCTGGAAGCACAGTTTTCCAGCAAGGCTGTGTTTACGAGTTCTGTGAACTTCAGTGGCAATTTACCTGAAGGTTGTAGTGCTGAAGTGCTGGGTGACGCTCTTACGGGTTATATAGTGAATGTTGTGAGGGACAAAGGTGAAGAGGCTGTGAGGATTCCTCCAAGTATCTCGGGCAAACTAAAATCCCATCAGGTTCTTCTTTTATACTTGCATATGTATTCGCTCTTTTATTTTGCATAATTGTTTCTTAATTTGGTTTTCTTATCCGTTATTTGGGAACCTGTTAAATTGAAAGATTCTTCATGATTAATGGGTAGTGTATACCTTATACTTGATAATTAGGCAATACTCGAAAAATATCCCTCTATTTTGTGTACTTTTTTCTCTCCTAACTATCTTTGTTTATTATAAAATGAGAGAAGTATTACAAGTTCTTATTTTCTCTTGTTGATTCATTGGATGTTACTACTTGTCCAACTCACTTATTGCCTTGTCTATCCTTAAATGTTATGCATGAAGGGCTTGTGCAAAGCCTCCTAATCCACACCGAATATTTGGGCCCTGAACATGTGGTCAAGCTCAATTAGTGTCTCTTGAATGCTGTCAGGTTCACATGAACTGATTTGTCTTTCCAGCTCTAGTTTTATCCATGTACTGGGTTCGAGATGATGGTTCTTTGGGCCAATTTTGGAAGTTTTTGTTCTTCAAAGATCTTTTGAGACTGGCACTGTCTTCTTGGTTTTGAAGATCATGGGTTAACATTTAAAAGAATATTAAATACTCCGAAAGACAGTAGTTCGAGATAATTAAGAACCATATGCTGGTACATATAATTTATCCATAGGCTACTTGTATTTTATTTTTTTGTGGTTGCAGTAACAGAGGTGAAAGAGTAGTGCTGGTATATGTGGAATATTTAATGGCTTGTTGGATGGTATTCTTTTGGGAGAAAATAGTGTCTAGAATATGTCATATGTCATTAGAGGGATGTTTCACCTAGCAATTGTTTTTTTGACTTTCCTGTTTGACATAATACACTGATTTTTCCTATATCGCAGGAACAATAAGTGCTTCCTGAGTAATCATTTGCCTTTAACCTCGGATGTTTTGTCTGTTCCTTGTGTTTCTATTTTCTGATAAATTCTAGACTGGTGTGTGCTAGTTAAAAAAATGACTGTTGGATGCTTTATTTTGGGTTTGCTCATTTTTGGTTCACCATATTGCAATATATATTTTTTTGAGTCAGGGACTGTTGATTTAAATGTTGCTTTGCTACTTGATGACAAGGCTGAATTGTATCTATACAATGATAGAAGAGTAAAAATGAGAAGGAAACATATGCCCTCTCATAACCAGTATATTTGATTTAAACAAGATGTAGGGAGAGAAATATATTTGATAGGTGAAGTGGAGGTGGTAGTGGTGTAGTGGGTTAGGTTTAGTGGAGTAGGTTTAAGTGGGTGAAGTAGGTGATAGGTTTTAACATTGATCATGTCTGACCTTCTTAATTCTTGTATTTTTCAATTGAACTAAAAGCTATGGTCTCCCTCAACTTCTGCATTCATCGTTATTGTGCATGTTCAATGTGGCACCCTTGGTGGAGTGGAATGGGAAAGCAATACTCTTTTAGCCGACCCTAATTTGCGTGACTAGGCTTTGTTCAGTTGAGTTGTACATGTTTAACTTGGCAAATGCATAATTTAATGTTGGACTCCACTAATCCTTCAGCAAAAGAGTGTGCAACTTCATTTATGAGGTTTAGAAAAGGTGTGCAGATCTGTTTTTTAGCTTCTCATGGATGAAGTGTTTACTGACTTTTATGCATGTGCTTCTTCATGCTGAAGTCAGTTCCTTACACTTAACGCTGTTGGTATTGTTTATTTTTCTCTTCTTTGTTGTCGAAAACAGAAAAAAACCGGAATGTGATTCAGAAAACTTGTTTGACTTTGTTTTCGAAAACTGTTTGGGGAATTTTTTAGAGAATATCCCTTTTAGGAAACACTATAAATTGGTTTTTGAATTTTCAAAAACTGTGTTTGCTCAAAAATGGTTGGTGTTTCTGAACATTTCAATATTTTTGTTTTTGAAAAACACAAAAAATGAGAACTATAAAAATGATACCAAACATGGCTTATCTTCTCTGTGTTGACTTCTTTTCCTGCGGGGGGATCGCTTTGTAATTTTGCTTTGTCCTTCATATTCTGTTTGCTGATGCACATATTTCTCTGTTTCTACATTGTCCCTCCCTTTTCCAGTTGAATCTCTGTTTACCATTTGTCACGATAAGAACATTGTGCATTCATAGTGAGAGGGGGAAGGGTTAAAGATTTGTCTGGTGTGAGATATCACATTGTTCATCAAACCCTAGATGTTTTCAGAGTAAAGGATCATCAAGAAGGGTGTTCTAGCGTATTGTACATACTTATCCAAGCCTTGTATGGCTCAATCATTGACAATGTTTCCATAAAGGAAATGGAGCAGGCTACTGAAAAAAGTTATTGCTAATGATAAAATGAATGTTTTAGCATTTTTATTTTACCTAACTTTGGGTTTGCTCCTCTCATTTGTATTTATCCTGAGATGAAAGAAAAGATGGACAATTCGTCTTATAGAGTTTACACAATGATTATATATATGTATATATTATTCTTGTGATAGGGTCTTTTTTTTTTTTTTTTTTGAAAAGTCTTGTGATAGGGTCTTTTTTTTTTTTTTGGGTCAAAAGTATATCGAAATTGCTTTTCTCCTTTCCCGGCAACCTGCTACTTATGTTTCTCAGTGGTGCTTTTGGTAAAAGGTAGAGGACGATTTTATGAAATTACAGAGACCTCGTTACAAATTACATTGCTCCATCTTTTCTTGAACCCTGTTTTGTTTATCCCCGAAATTTGTTAAAGCATCCAAAGGGCATAACAATGATTACAGACCCTAGTGCCTTTCGGCTAATAAAATACTAAGGACTTTCGGTGATTATAATATGCCAACACATAGCTTACAGGGCACATCAATTGCTCAACACTAGTTCAAAGCATCTACTTTTTCTCACTCACTAGCGAAAAAAGGGGTAAATGACAGAAAATCCTGCTTAGAGATTGCAACTATAGTCATGGTTGTGTTGGCTGCTAGTGTTGGATAATGAATGCTTCGTTCCTTGAATCTTTTGGTAGTTGTATCCTTTCCGTAGTCTCTGAGAATTGAATGCGTTTTAAGGCTTATGTCTGACACCTTAAGCATCACTGTTTGTATTTAGCAAAATTTTGTGTATTCCTTGATTGTAAGTTGCTTGGTCTTCATGTTTAAAATTCTAACTTGATGTTTGTCAACCAAGTCAAAGTTTTACTTTTCCTTTTCTGTGATTTTGGCTTCAATTCCACTGTATCTGGCTAGTTATGCATCTTAAATAGGGTTCTATTTAGTTAGGCTAGTCTGAATTTATTTTTATTTTTTTTTGAGCAACAACAAAATTTTATTAAAAAATAAAAGTGAAAGAGGACAAGGAGTCCTCGTACAAAGAGAGAGAAAGGGAAAGAACAAAACAAAAACACAAAACTCATAGCCGTAGGGAAGGCAAACAACAGTCCAATCCCTAGAGATCAAGAACAAAGGGACTACTTTAAAAGTAGGGGATACAAATGCCCAAAATGACGCCAAATATTCCACCCTATCCCACAAAGCCTCTGCACTTGCTTCCTTGCCATCAAAGATTCTAGCATTTCTCTCCAACCATATGGCCCAAAAAATAGCAAAAACAATGTTTGTCCACATTGTTTTGGCTCTCTTGGTTCTCCCAAACCCTATAAACTGAATAAGAAGCATTTGAATGCAGTCTCGCAAAGCAACCCACTGCTCATCACATAAGCCGAACAGCCGCTGCCATAATACACAAGCCACCGGGCAGTGAAGAAATAGATGATCCGCTACCTCCAAGTTCCTCTTGCACCTCACACACCATTGAGGGCAAAGAGAGTGATTAGGTCTTCTCCTTTGCTCCCTTCCCTATCCCAGGCGATATCATCTCGTTTGATTTTGGATGTTAGGGTACATTGTTTATGTTCAAGCTGCCTGACTTTAAGTTCTGCTAATGTGGGATCCTGTATCCCCTTCTGAAATTTAGGTTTGAATTTGTTTAGAAAACAAAACTCTTTTGTCAGGGGTTGATATACGTTGTTGGGCCTATTATGAAAGATTTTAAGCTTTTGGGCTGACTATTGTTTATAATGATAATTATGGTATTAGACTTTTGGTTCTAGAAGATCCTTGTTTCATGTCTCTCTGTGTTTGTTCCTTCATTGTGTGCTAAAAAGAAGGGAAAAAAAACAAAGAGAAGATTTTGGAGCAACTAGTTGTATTTTTAAAATGCTGTTTCGCCAGCAACTTCAGTTCAGTTTCTCTGTGTGTGTGTGTGTATATATATATCCTTGCAGAGTCTGGCTGTGATGACAAGAGTTATTTTGTTAATTTCCTTTTATATTCTTGGAGTATTATTTTTTTATTTTTTCCTGTCATCTGTTTTTATCCGTTGAATTTTAGTGGGATGCTTATCCTGCTTGTTACTGCAGATTTCCGGGATACGATTTATGTGGGAGAATATCATCCAGTCAATTACAAAAGTGAAGGCTGGGGATAAAGGTCTTGGTTGTATTCTGGCTCATACCATGGGCCTTGGTAAAACTTTTCAGGTATCTTTCTTTGTCATCACGACTCACTGTTTCAGTGCTATTTAACTTTTATGGATTTTGTCAGTAAAAAATCAATATTCTTATAAGAAAAATAAAGTTTGTATAATGGGAATTTTGTTATGTTCTACTGTAATAAATATGTTTTCTATCTTATCCTAAGCACCAACACTTTTAAGAAGGTGTCGTGTTCGTATTCGTGTTCGACATGTGTCGGATACCAAGACTCTTCGGACACTTTCCAACACTTGTTGGACACTTCCAACATGTGTTGGGCATACAATCAAACATTTCCTATTATTCTTTTTAAATTTTGTTAAGCTCGGACACATCCTGGACACTTGGGCATGTGTCCATCACTTATGCTGTGTTTGGTTGGGGGACTTGGGAAGAAGAGATTTAGAAAGGAAAAGGGAAAGGGAAAGGGAAAAGGTAGTTGAAATGTGAATAAACTATGCCTACATTTCACTTAGTTTCACACACCTTTTTCCTTTCCTTTTCCCATTCCTAATCTCTTTCCAAATCTCCCAACCAAACAAAACGTTAAGAAATAGATGAAACACGTTACAAGTTTGAACAAAATAACTTAGGATCTTAGGTGAAGACACAAGCAATGTATATTTGTACCTGTAATCCATTATATTTAAAATTTTAATTTATCAAAAAAAAAAAAATTATAGAAATTCATGGTATGTTATATATTTTTGTTAATTTTGAATGAAATATTTATATATATGACATATAATAAATACATAAAATCATATATTTTGTGTCTCCCACTTGCCGTATCTTGTATTTTTTTAAAATTGTCATGTCAGTGTGTTGTGTCAAGTGTCCATGTTTGTGCTTATCAAGCCTTATCCGTCTTTAATGCCAATGCTTATTTATTTATTTATTTAAAGGTAGAGAGGCAAGACATGTATATGTGTATATATTGACATGTATAATGTGAGGGGTGGTAATCGTTGTGAGCTTCAGATACTTGAAATGTAACTTGACTACCTTATTATTCAGATTGCTCCCTACAATCTGAATGCAGTATCAATTGAACTGTTACATTATGTAGCTGCTTTTCTCTTGGAGGTTTCTGACTAGTAATTAGTAGTTCTTCATTTCTCTCCTGCAACCTTTCCTTCATAAAATGTCAAAGCTTACTCTTTTTATAGTTTCCTTTTGTTTCCTAATTCTTTAAATCCTGGGATTATGTAATATCAGACACTATCTGGTAAAAAATTTAATTTGTTGGTTTAGTTTGGGATTTGGGAATGATTTCTGGCATTTTTGGCTAGCTTTAGTCAGCTGATGAATGATTTTGCCTGAGCTGTCAAATTGTATTTACAGGTCATAGCTTTCTTGTATGCTGCCATGAGAAGTGTGGACCTAGGATTAAGAACTGCGCTAATTGTGACGCCAGTGAGTGTCCTGCACAACTGGAGGCAAGAGTTCATGAAGTGGAGACCAACAGAGTTGAAGCCTCTGCGTGTCTTCATGCTGGAAGATGTTTCAAGGTTTGATTTTATATCGTTTTAGTTATTCATTCATAGTTTGGTTATCATACAAAAGGTTTTGAATTCTGATGAATTGAATAACCATCACTTGGTAGGATCCTGCGGTTGTTCATTCGACCATTAAGCTTTCATCTACAGTTTACACGATGTAGATGTGTTGGTTCATATTTAGGTAGATCATAGGATCCAATCTACATTCTGCCAATGTAAATATGTTGGATACATGAGTGGATGGCGAATATTTAGGTGGATCAGCATATCGAATGTTTGTTTAGTTCGGGCACCTTGTCAAATATTTGTGATTAAATTGTATCTGTTGACTACTTTCCTGTTTTGTGTAAATTTGGATTATCATCCTTAGCTAGCTGCATGTGTAATATATTTATCAAGTGGAGGAGGATTATTAGGGGTTAAAACTTAGATGGTACATTTTCATTATCGGAAAGGTATTTTGTAGTTGTGCCAGTACCACTGTAAGTGGCAATGACATTGAGATGAGGTGTCATTTAAATCTCTTGTACTTTATTTTCATCTTCTTCTTGTTCTTCAATAGTTCAAGTAGTAATTTAAATACTAAACTTTACTTATTTTACTTTGAAGTTGATCTTTCAACTTGAGGTTGTTGATCTCATTTTGCTAGGGAGAGGAGAACTGATTTGCTTGCCAAGTGGAGGGCTAAGGGTGGTGTCTTCTTGATTGGTTATGCTACTTTTCGAAATCTTTCCCTTGGAAAACATGTGAAGGATCGACAGATAGCCAGAGAAATTTGTTATGCCCTTCAGGTGATTGTCATTGTCTGTCAAAATTGTTTTCATTGCTACAACGTTGGAAATTCATTTACTTCACCATAGTTCATTTTGATTAATGTGCCAATTAATTTTAGTTGAATGACTCCAAATCCAAGTTAAGGCCATCGAGAAAATCATAAACTCACTCATTCTCCACCATCTGCTGAAACATTGTTGCATCCTTAGAACAAACACTTGAAAACTCTGGTAATAGTCAAGCTCATGCCACAAGCTGTTCAACTCAGCATAATACTTGCTGAGAGACTTTCTTTTGATCCAAACCACAATTCTTCTTTCTCAATTCATAATTCGGTTCTTCTATGCCCTTCCGAGAGCAAGTCTGAGTGCCTACTGACCATATATCTTATATGTTGTGTCCAATAATAGAAAGTACGATTGAGAGTTGGTCGAATGGAATTGATCAACCAAGTCCTTACCAAAGCATTCCCTGAGCACCACTGACTACAAGCTGGTCCATCTTCAAGCAGCTCATTGAGTTCCCTTGTAATATACCCAGTTAACCTACTTGTAATGATGGCCAAACTGCAAGAGTGTGACCAAATCAAATAGTTGGTGCCATCCAATTTAGTCGGACTAATGTGAAGAGTTGGGCTATAAACAAGAGTCCTAATGTGATTCAACCCAATCTCTTCGCCGCATTACTACCTTCAGCATGTCCACAGGATGAATAGCACAAAGTAGCCAACAAAAAATTGATTTAACGGCCTATGAATGCAAAAACACTCAATGAATCTAAACTTTGGTAGTAATTACTCAACCAAGAATGTTCAGTTGTGTAAAATCAGCCCAAAAAACATATCAACGGTAAAAAAGACCTTCAGAAGAACATTGTTGCAGTATGTGAGAACCAGCCACACTTTTTTTGCCAAAAAACCATGCAAACTAGACAAAAACAAATGTTGGGTAGCACACTCCTAGAGTGTTGGTTGCCCCCATAGATTAAGTTGCGTTCATCCATCTGAATCAAACCATGCCCCTGATCGACAATTTCTGGAAGGAAAAAAAAAAACCCCCCCTTTTAACTGAAGATCATTGAAAACTTGAAAGATCATTAACCAAAAAAAGAAAAAGAGAAAATAAAAAGAATACTCACACCCTCTAGTCAAATACATTGGTAATTATTTTATTTTAATGACATTAACACGATAAAGAGAAGAACAGTGATCTTGATTCTTCAACTTACAGATAATGTTCTGATGCTATGTTTTTTTTGTTTTTGTTTTTGAGAGATGGGAGAAGATAGAGATACCATAAACGACTAATGCAAGAGGACCAAAAATTAGGGTTTGCTCCCATGAACACACATATTAATATTAGAGCAATCGAAAGTACATAAATACCCCCAGGCTACTAATAACTAAACAAGGCATAAGCACACAACATAACAGTTTCTATTCTCGTGTTCATCACTGCAGTCAAACCTTGATTTCGTGCATTTATCTATAACTATAGCTTTCCTCCATTGACATTTGCTTTTCCTTCAGGATGGACCTGATATACTAGTTTGTGATGAGGCCCATATGATCAAGAATACCAGGGCTGATACAACCCAAGCCTTGAAACAAGTAAAATGTCAAAGAAGGATTGCACTAACTGGATCACCCCTTCAGAACAACCTCATGGAATATTATTGTGTAAGATTATATGCAAGCTATAATTTTTGGCAAATCATCTCACATGCCTATTCACTTTCATGATTTTCTCGAGTTTTTATCTGGAACAGATGGTTGATTTTGTAAGAGAAGGATTTCTTGGCAGCAGCCATGAATTTAGAAACCGGCAAGACTTCTTCACTAACTTTGTCCTGATGCTGTTTTCTTGTTTGTTTATTTTAATGTTCCTTGATCATCGTTTTATTCACATGCAGCTTCCAAAATCCCATAGAGAATGGGCAACATACCAATTCTACATCTGAGGATGTGAAAATTATGAACCAAAGATCTCATATCCTCTATGAACAGTTGAAAGGATTTGTCCAGAGAATGGATATGAGTGTGGTAAAGAAGGATTTGCCCCCTAAAACAGTCTTCGTAATAGCTGTAAAGCTTTCTTCCTTGCAAAGGAAGTTGTACAAGAGATTCCTTGATGTCCATGGGTTCACAAAAGACAAGGTTTCTGGTGAAACGATACGAAAGAGAAGCTTTTTTGCTGGCTACCAGGCTTTAGCTCAGGTATATTACTTGCTAACATGCTTATCATGATTCTGACAGATGTACTCTCTTGCAATATGTATGGTGCCCTTGTGAAATGTAATTCTTGTTGTGATGAAAATTTTTGTGTGATTCCTTTGTGTCTTTTGAAACTCACAGAGAGTGAAAGCGGTAGCTATACAAATCATTCAAAGAGATGGGATTTACTTTTTAAAGGGAGTGAGATTGGGGTAATAGTTTTAAGAAGTGCGAGTTCTCAAGAGAAGCTCGTACTCACTTTTTTCTGTGCATCTTCTTTTGTTTCTTGATATACCTTTCTTTTTGAAGCCAATCAGTATACTAAAATGGGCCAGCAATTACACATGCACCAAAATAAATTTGTCAAATAAGAGAAGCATCCATATTCGCTTGCACTATCAATTGATTAATATGCGTTTTACATCACTTTAATACATTTCAAGTTTATTTTGGTGATTTCCTAGTCAGTGGTGGATCGCATTTAATTTGTGGTGAATTCACAGAGTATCATGGATGCTTGATACTCAACCAACCATTCAGGAACAAACATCACCAATTTCCAGTGGTATAACAAACATGGTAACAAGTTTTAGGATTCAACACCTAAGGCACATGAACTGGGTTAGGGTTGGGTTGTTTTTATTTTTCTTTTCCCTTACTAATGGTGAATTGGTTGGCTATAGGGTCCTGTGGTTTTTGTCCGTTTTGATTTTCAACAGGAAGAAAAAAAAAAAGAAAAAAAAAAAGAAAAAAGAATCATATATCCATAACCAAATATTACAAACTATTACTATTAAAAAACTGAAAATAAAATATAGATAGAGTATGCATTTTCCAACCAACCAAGAAAAAGAGGTCCTACCAAAATAAATAAATAAAATTATTGTCATCATAATTGAATTTAACATAAAAAAAATCTAAATGAATTATGCAACTTTTACCTGTCTAACTATTAATACTCAATCTCAAAAATCAAAAATTGAAATGTGCAGAAATTTGACATATTTTCCAACTAACAAAACAAAAGAAGTCCTACAAAAACAATAAAAATATTCTCATAAGAGTTGAATTTAACATAAATTAAAAAAAAAAAAATTAGATCAAATATTCAACTTGTTACCATTGCTTTCTAACATCAATCAATGATGTTGACATTTTTGCTGCTTGATCCTTTCATAAGCACTAAAAAAAATGAAAGAAGCAAAACATAAGAAATTTCAGTGTTAAACATATAACTCTCATAAATGACATATTTTCCAACCAACAAAACAAAAGAAGTCCTACAAAAACAATAAAAATATTCTCATAAGAGTTGAATTTAACATAAATTAAAAAAAAAAAATTAGACCAAATATTCAACTTGTTACCATTGCTTTCTAACATCAATCAATGATGTTGACATTTTTGCTGCTTGATCCTTTCATAAGCACTAAAAAAAATGAAAGAAGCAAAACATAAGAAATTTCAGTGTTAAACATATAACTCTCATAAAATAAATATAAAAGAGAGAAAATAAGAAATATTTATTGATCAAGGAATGTACCTGACTCAATCTCCTCCGGTTCATTATTATTATTATTTTTTTCATCTGCATGTTAAGAGTAGTGTGTCAAAAATAATGTCAAACATTATTATCTTTTTATAGATCCAAAACACCATCAAAATCAAGTGATTCACAAACATTAAAACCCTTTTCAAAACATCATAAATATTACACATATTATATATATATATATATAAACATTGTCAAAAACAGGGTTTACTTTGACACAAAAGTCAATCTACACTAGGGCCTTTTGATAAGTGTTTAAAAAAATTAGGGATTTGTGTCATAAATAGGGTGTTTTTAATATATAAAAAAAAGAGGGTTTGTTCAAAAAGTAAAACAATAAAAAATAAGGTTTTCAAAATAAAAAATTAGGGATGAAATTTACCTGGTACCAAGACTTTGCTTCAAGATTCTGAGTAATGGATGATAGTGGTGGTGAATTTGAGAGGGCCTTGGTAAAAAACCCTAATTGATTTCTCATCCTTAGTAAAAAAACCTTAGTTTGTTTGAATTTTGAAGTGGAAGAAGACGAAGAGTAAGAGGCAAACAGAAAGAATCAGTGAAAGAGAAGCCAAAGAGTGTTTCAACTTTTTGTTTTCACCCTGGGAACTTGGAAGGCCAAAAGTGCTATCCTTATGTTACATGTATATTATTGAGTGGACTGCTAGGATTAAAACACGTGGATGGCTAAGATGAGAGTCTGATACAGTGCGGTGCGGTGCGGTGTAAAATTCACATAAACCAACCCGAAAATCGAAAATTTTGAAAATTTGTACCGACCGACTGAATTACAACAAATGAACAAACCATAAATCGGCGGTTCGGTGGGGTCGGTCGGTTCGGTTTCAGTGACTATTCTTTCACCCCTATGGTTTAGAAAGAAATTATGTTTAAAGAAAATTTATAGAACACATATCAAACATCAACAATTCAGCATAGATCTAGCCACCGTCGTAAAGTTGAGAGACTGGCTTTTAATAATCCTTGGAAACTAACGCAACAAGACTCTAGTCTCAAGATTATTTAACTTTAGTTTTCTTTTTAATTGTTAAATTAGTGTTAGTTTTTGTTAGTTTTGGTTGTTTATAGATGTAATATTTATGTGCGTATTAAATAAAAATAAAGTTTTTTGGTCTTATCCCCACCATATTCATGTTTTGATATTATTGAACCATTAACTAATATTTGCATTACTCTAAATTGAAAGTAGATATTTTTTTATGGATGCACCAAGTTGTACCTTTACCATATTTTTTTAGATTTTACCATATTAATGTACTCATACCTTACCAATACCCATACATGTGCTTCATAGCTATGATTCCTTCATGCGATGTTGAGTTGGATAACTTAGAGGAATCAAAAACAATTGAGTGGGTCTCCTTTGAATTGTGATTCACGCCTATTTGAGATTTTATTAAAAAAAATTTAACTCACAAAAAGGTGGACAAGATCAATGGTATAGAAGAGAAGCTTTCCCTTTCTACTATAAGGGTATATGTCTGAGCTAATAACAAATTGAAGAAATGGTTAGGAAGTTAAAGGAGTTGACTGTTGATAAAAAAGGAAGATATGTGTTGATTGTTCTAGCACAAAGGTGTTGATTCTATACTAGTGGGCATACCAATTTTGTGAATGGTATGGTGCATGCCAATACCAGTGCATTTCGTCGTGCCGTTTTAGATAGGGCAAATTTCACATAACCCCCTTGTGATTTGGTTCATGTGCAGATCAACACATAACTCCCTTGTGATTTGTTGTCTAAAACACACCATTAGGCTTTTCATCCAATTGACAGGATTTGAGTGCCACACAACTATGTGAAGAGTAAGCCATTTTTTAATTGTAAATCACCCATCTTCAAATTTACAAAAAGGGAAAAAAGAAAACAAAAGAGATTCATTTCTTTTTCTTCTCCTTTCTCAACTCAAAACCTTTCAACAATGATCGCATACAAAAACCAACTTGACACCCACTATTCCCTCTTAGAGACATAGCCACTCAGTACCTATATTATACAGCATCCATCCTCTGTTACGCCCACTGCTGGTCATCCACCTCACCACCCAGCCATAACCATCTTCTACTTTCACAACAAGCCCACCAGAAAACTTTAATAAACTAGTACACCATCGCCACCACAACGGCACCGATAGCACCCATAGCATCAACACAACCCTTACAACACCTCTACTCCCTCTTAGTTGAACCCACAACAGCTCACCAACCAACCCTCTTTTTTTCTCCTGCTTACGGCTAATACCTGGTAGCCCTTGTCCTTCATTGGCATCCACCACCTCATGGCCTTCTCTCTTCTTCGTAGCATACCACACACCACACGCCACCCTCAACCCTCATTTCTCCTTTCTCTCCTTCCCCTCACACCACCACCCATTGCACAATCACTTTGCCACTCAATTCTTGTCAAAGAAGGATTTACAAGAGAACAATCCAAATGATTCTCCTGTCGATAGCTTCAGATCTGAAAGAAGACAATATAGAAGCCAATTCAATAGCCTCATGATCATTAAGATGTCTGAAAAAAATTGAAATTCAATGAGAAATAGCCTCATGATCATTAAGATGTCTGAAAAAAATTGAAATTCAATGAGATACGGTTCATATTAGAAGATGTCATAGAAGTGATAAAGACATTATGAGAGCAAGATAGACAATACAAACAAGGGAACAAAAGTTCAAATGAAACTTCACCCCTTCTATACATTCTCCCAAAATTAGATATTCTCCCCCATTTCCCACAATTAAATGAGTAAATCAAGAAAATTCAAGAAAGCCTTGAGAGTTGAATTTTTATAGATTGATAGTTCTTCCAATTAACCACATGAGAGTCTCAACCTTTGGCCTTAATCCCATACTTACTACTAATTTCTTAGAGAAAAAATGCGAAATCAGTTGCTCTCAAAATTAATCTCCATAACCGTTTTCCAATGAAGGAAATATTCTTAACTACAATATTTCCCAAAGCAAAATCTCCTTTATTCTTTGTAAGTGAAACCACATCCCAACTGATATAATGATATTTTTTTCCTTCGTTATTTTTTCAGTCCTACTTGCCTTCTCGCAAAAAATCCCTTGTTATTTTTTCAGTCGTACTTGCCATACTCATTGGAGTTCTAAACAAGGATAACTAGTAAAAGGCACACTTGATGAATCAATCATGGTTGTCATTTTTGGGGGGGATATGATTAATAATTGATGATATTTTATATTTATGGAAAATGTAACTACATGCATATATCCATTCACATATATTATGTTTTCATAATTGGCGTTGGAATTGGCACTTTTTTATTTGTACTATTTCTTAAATTGTTTTTGCTATTTTTGCTACATGTGGTTTTTTTTGAAAATGTGAATTTTTCATTGCAGATATGGAACCATCCGGGGATTTTGCAACTGATGAAAGACGAGAAAGATTATGTGAAACGTGGAGATGTGGTTGAGAATTTTCTTGCAGATGATAGCTCTAGTGATGAGAACATAGATTGTAACATGATTTCAGGAGGTACCCGCTGTTTGTGTAGTTTTTACTTACATTTTGAAATGCTTTACTTACAAAAACTATTTATGAATACTTTAGTCTGCTAGATATTATACTTATGGGTTTCACTTTGTGGAATCATGTTAGAAATGGTTCAACCGTTGCAGTTTACTGTTTTCTTTCCTTTTCTATTTTCTCCTCCTCTTCTGGTTCTCTTACATGTTCAATCCAAATCAATTGGGGAATCTCTCAAAAGCTTATGTAAATGCTATTAACTACTAGACCACAAATTGGTTGTGTTGTATTATTGCTTACATAGCAATGAACAACTATTTTATAGTAAGTTTCCTTATTTTTATTATAGTTCCTGTATGTTGTTTTTTAGATTGTATGGCATAAATGTTGAACCAAAACAAGTTTGCTTTTGTATGACTACTCTGCTAGTTGGTTCAGACAATTTTATTGTGATATTTTGACTACATTAGATATGAAGATGGCTTTAATAGACATGGATGCAGATAAATGCCTTGGTTGTGTCTTCAAGATTTAATTCATTTTCTTCTAAAATTTCTGAACATGTGGGATGTTAAAACCTACCATCACCTACTCCACCTACTACACCTACCACCACCTACTAGCACCTACTACACACCTACCACTACCACCTACTCCACCTACTCCACTACATCTCCTATATAAGGAGCCCCTCACCATTTGTAATAGATAACATACATCAATAAATAATACAATCATTTCTCTTTATACATTAAATTTCTACATGGTATCAGAGCAGGTTTAGAACCTAGTATTTTTGCTTCCCCGGCGGGCGGCAACTTCACCTACCTTAGCTGCCCGCCGGACCTCAACCTATTCCATGGCAGTGACATGCAACCCAACAGAGCTGAGCTCTTGCGTGGGTGCAATCACATCAAACACACCTCCATTAAAGCTGTGCTGCTCTAAGATCAAGGAGCAAAAGCCTTGCCTTTGCACCACCACTGTATGCTCAACAACAAGACCTACTCGGTTGGGACTTTCGTCGAACACTTCGTCTACACCCTCATCGTCGTCGTCCTCGTCGTCCTCTTCCTCCGCCACCGCCATCGCTAGGCGTCAAGGAGTCGTCGGCGATGCAAAAGCGGTTTCAGAGGCTGAGCCGCAACGTTTCTGAGGCCATCGCCTCGCTCAAGAACTCACTCAATCTCGACTCGGCTCGTGACTCGCCTCCGCCGCCGCAGTCTCGGATCGAGAGCTGTCGGAAAGTCGTCTGGGGCAGCGTTGTGAGGAACTTGACTCAACTCTATCCCGGTAGTCAGCTTCCAGAGAAGCTCGTCTCCAACATCCGCAAACACTACGATTCATTACCACTCAGCTATGCACAGGCTGGATTTGATATGAAAGATGTGTTTATGCCTATCAAATTGATAGAGCAAGCTTCCGAGGATGATCAGCCGGCGATTTTGATTCAAGAGGTTTCTGATGTGAAGTTCAAGGCTCTGTTTTTAAGCTTACATTTGCTTGTAACTCTGCCATTTCTTGGACAGCCATGTCCGGTGCCCTGGATAGCGCTTCGATTTGTTGCAAGAAGATACAGATTTTTGAGAAAACGAGCGTGCCGTTGAATATTGCAGGTGTTGCACTTATGTCTTTCCCTGTTTTGAATTCCCACTTGAGACGTAGGTTTGCAACAGTTGATGGGCTGATCTTGGATTCTCCATGGGCATGTCTCTGGTTATATATATCACCGCCATGGTTCAACCAATCTCCTGAATTTGAACCTGCAGTGAGACTCAGAGTGTGTAGACAAAAGATGCCTAAGAAAAGCAACAAAAGATTCTTCTTGTTGCAGGTTTGTGTTGGTGACAGCTGTGGGATATGAACCCACGCTCTTTTTCTCATCTATCACACATCCACCACCCACGATTATTTCACACTTTTCTTTTATTTTAATATATATATATCTATATTTTTTTATTATAATATATTTTCCTTATCCCTACTTTTATTTTATTTTATTTTTTCTATCTTTCTTTTTCATCAATATTTCCTTATTCTACAACTCGTTAGTGAGCATCACTCTTTTTATCTATTTTCTTTATCCGTTGTTTTATTTTATTTTATTTTTATTCTTAAACAAAACAACAACACAAAATAACACTACAAACATTCCACACCCTTGTCATTTCTTCATGCCGGGGATCAACCCCGATCACCATTTTACACCACAAAACACAAAAAATAAAATAAAATAAAATAAAATAAAATAAAATAAAAATAAAAAATAAAAATAAATAAAAAATAAAAAAACACAAACAAAACCCAAACAACCACATCCACATGCGGGATTTTTCTTCTCTACTCTGCCGCCGGTCTCTTCTTCTTGCCTCCGTCCTGAGCGGCCCTTGCCGGTGCTGCCTCCGTGTTTTCCACGCCGCCCAGCACGTTCACTCCCCCATACTCCTCCACTGCAGCATATGGCGGACCTCCAAATCGGAACATCACGGTGGCCTTCCGCTTCAGCTCCTTATTTTCCGCCTTTAGCACACTTATCTCTGCTCGCGCATCCTTATACATGCGCTGGAGCAGAGCCAGTTGAACAAATTGTTTGGAGTGCTACTACAATTGTGAAAATCATTATATCCTGAGAGATAGATGCCATTTATCCGTAAGCACCGTAGCGGAGCGAATCTGTGTTAAGGATAGAGTGTCACACATTCGACTTGATCTTTTAATTATTTATTCGGTTCGGTAAAATAAATTTGATAAGTAATTTATTTTTATTTGTTTGATTTGTTTCAACTTATTTATTTTACACAAAAAATTGTTCCAACAGTACTATCATGAGTTGTGTTCTTCTTTAACTGTTTGTAACATGCTCTAACTAGTGAATAATAGTTTGTGACTATCGATTTTGTGTAACAAATTAAAACACTAGTGGATCAGGATTTTCGGCGGTTTCAGACTGGTTTGCACAGCCTCCGCCTCAACCTTGGTTTAAATAGCCAGGGCCGATACACGCATCGCGCGCCACTTGATGCCAAACGACAGCCTGGGCGCGCAAACCAAGATGGTCACGCGTCTCGCCATCATGTCCGGCACACTTTTTTATGGAATGGGCACGCCTTTTGATGGCACGCCTTTTTATGGATTGGGCACGCCTTTTGATGGCACGCCTTTTGACAGATTAGGCACACCTTTTGGGGGTGCGACTTTTTAGGGGTCCGACAAGACTCTGTAAACTGTCCCGACATTGATTCCGGTTAGCTCCTTCATGGGTCCGACAAGACTCTGTAAACTGTCCCGACATTGATTCCGGTTAGTTTCTACAAGGGTCCAGCAAGACTCCGTAAACTGTCACAACAACTGTCACAACATTGTCTGCTACAATGGTCCGACATGACCCCATAAACTGTCTTCTACATCGGTCCGACACGAGCCAGTGTCTTCTACATCGGTCTGCCATAACCATACAGTCTTCTACAACGGTCTGACACGACCATACAGTGTCTCCTATCCATTTTTTATTTTTCAGATTATTTTCTTGTTTTGTTACTCTCTCCAAACTCAAGTTGGTTAGTTCCTATTTCCCTTGAGTTTGCGGGGGCTGTTAAAACCTACCATCACCTACTCCACCTACTACACCTACCACCACCTACTACCACCTACTACACACCTACCACTACCACCTACTCCACCTACTCCACTACATTTCCTATATAAGGAGCCCCTCACCATTTGTAATAGATAACATACATCAATAAATAATACAATCATTTCTCGTTATACATTAAATTTCTACATGGGAAAATTCTACTGGCATTTGCCAAATATGTAGTGTGTTTTGGAGAGCATGATATGCATCGTGGGGCCTCCCTCTCAATAGCTTAAACTTTTAGAACTAGTGGTGATCTAACATGGTATCGGAGCTCAAGTTGGGGAAGGCCTTAGGTTAAAGTATCTATTTGTGTTTGTTCTCATTTGCATTATGTTTCTCTCTATGTATGGATGCTTACATCTCCACATGCTGGACATTACTGTACATGAGGGAGAATGGTGATCTAACAATATGCACATTGGAACTCAGAGTTTTGTTTTTTTTGTTTTCTTTTTGTTCCTAGTTTTAACATATTTTGTCACATAATTGTTAAATTGGCATGTACATGGACCATTTATAAAAAGTTAGTTTGTAAGATAAAGTTGAGTTTTGATTGTTAGAGTTTGAGTATGATTTGGTATGCATTTGTAAAACATTTTTGTATGTTTGTTACAATGTATAACACCTAAAAGTTCATTTTTTTGTTGTGTTCTTTCCATTCTGGCACTTCATGCAAGATATAGCAATGATTGTGGGGCACCCGCATTCTGATTATTATTTTTTGGCTGGCTCTACGCTGATATATGCAAATCCTTGAAACTAGACAAGCTCATAGAAGCCTTAAAAATCATATTTGACATTGATTTAACATGCAAGAACACCCTATATTAGAAATATGGGAGGAGAGTAACAAATATATCATTTACACAAGCTTAATTATTTGGAAGCAATTTTGGTAATTTGATTGGACTAACAAGTATGGCCTTGCAATATAGGTGTATTGTGGTAGCCTAAGTAGCACCAACCAAAGCTCAAGGGGTTGGCCTGGTGGTCAAGGCTTGGGACTTGGGGGTGTGCCCCTTCTAAGGTCTTGGGTTCGAAATCTCCAAGGTGCAAACAACTTCTTGGGGCTAGTTCATACAGAGCTTTGCCTTGGCTTTAAATGTGGCTCCTGTTGGTGGACAGTGTGATTGGTCCCCAGATTAGTCGGTACATTGGGCCGTGGGCCGGATACCAAGTTATCAGAAAAAGTAGCACAAACTTGTACATAGGACACATGCATGACAGGAAAAAAAACTGTATGCAAATTGGGAAATGTTAATGATATATATTCTTTCATTGTCTGATGTAAGTAAATATTAGTCATTATGATGCATAGTATAAGAAGCTCAAGGAAGGCTAAATTCAAAGAAGCAATGATATTTGGACATTGGCATGATTTGATAGAGAAACTGATAGGAATTTTATATAATTATGTTTCTAGTATTATTAGAGTATTATTTTATGATTATTTTTATATTTTGTAAGATTTTTAGGTCAAGAGTATTTTGGTAATTTTATATTTACTAACATGGGCTGTATGTGTCGCCCATAGATCGTCTTGTGGGTCAAATTATTTAATTAGTCTTTGTTTTTGTTTCTTATTTGGTCTTAAATTAGTTTTAGAAATTAAAGATATTTTAGTAGTTTCTTTTTTGGTTCTAGTTGATTTAGGAAGTCTCCTAGTCTTATATAAAGCCTTGTAATGCTTATAATTGGGAGAATTGATATTTTATAAAAAGTTGAGAGTTTTGGAGTTTCTTTATAGATTGTGTGATGCAATCAAACCTTAGGTGTGATGCCTATGGATTCTAGGTGTGATGCCTAGCTAGACCTATCTTCTTCTCTTCTTCTTTTCTTTCTTCTTCTTTTCTGTTTTAGTTTACTATTCACGAATTACTGTTCACAGCCTCGTAACAGCCCCTAAACAGTGCTAAACTCCCATCTTTTCATGCTTAAACTCTTACCTATTTAGTACCCTAAACAAATCCTACTTGTCCCCTATATTCTTATTGCAATTGCAGCAATAAAATCCAATTAAAATCAGACCCAAAAGCCTAGATTTGCTGCTGTCCCAAATTGTTCTGCATCACATTATCTATGCAATGGCTGATAGTTGGCTTGTTTTGGTTAGGATTGACAAAAGACATGCCACACATTCATCCTTGTACACACGATATGGTGCTTTTGAAATATCCAAACATATTTGTAGGTGCATTAGCTTGGCTTAGACTTTGATGTGGTCGAATGTGGAAAACTTTTTTGGTTTCCTAATTTTGTAACTTAATCTCTTTTTTCTTGTTCTTGATTGAGCTTTTTTCCTTGCATGAGATTGTTCATCATTTTAATTCGCTGTAGAATATTTTGTTGTTCCTTTCATATCTACTAATGCATTGTGTAATGAGTTCACCCCCATGCTTTTTGCAGAGAATCCAAAGAACAAGAACGGGTTTCTGCAGAGAAAAAATGATAGTTCCTTTTTTAATCAGGTTTGGAAAAATTTGCTCGTGCACTTTTATTTTCCCACCCCACATGGGGACTTTTTCTTTTCAATGTTTCAGATATATTTGGTGAAACTCTGTTAGCTTGGTCTGTGCTTCAATAAGTTCAACATCTATCAGATGCTTTAGTTTGTTGCATTAACCTTTTCATGTTTATCAAGTGTATATTGATGATACATTGATCTCATCATTTCCCTCTTTCCAGGATTGGTGGAATGATCTTCTTCGGGAAAATAACTACAAAGATGTTGACAACAGTGGCAAAATGGTTTTGCTGCTTGATATACTTACTATGAGCTCTGCTGTGGGTGATAAAGCATTGGTTTTTAGCCAGAGTTTGTCAACTTTAGATTTGATAGAACTTTATCTTTCAAAATTAACTCGACATGGGAAAAAAGGGAAATGTTGGAAACGAGGAAAAGACTGGTATAGGTGCGTTATTCCACTCGAACCTTTGAGAAATGGTGCATGTTGAATAAAAATCATAATACATTTACTTGGTCATTTTGAATAAGAGTTAAAATTGGAAGTCCTCGTCTTGGTTTTTTTATTTTGGAGTTTGCTGGTTGTCTTGGTCCGCTAGCTTTTATATTTTCCCTGCTATCACATAGCAAAAGGATGGTATGTTCTCGTTATTCCTAATTGAACTTCCCCGTGCCTTTCTTCATATTTCTTTCATATATGTGTTGCTGCTTATTCTAAATGATTTGTTCTACATTTGAGTTTTAAATGACATCATTGTGTAATCTCAGTTTTTTAGAAGTTCAGCATTGGTGTTTCAACTGTAGTACCGACAAAATATTAACATGGCCCTACTTGAAAGTTATTCTGTCGTTGCAATTTCAAGTGTTTAATTTCAACGTAACCTGTTATTACGAGGGAAATTAGGGCTCTATTTGTTTCAGCAAATATAAGGACATGATAGATAGGTTTTGGTGTATCATGCTGTCTTTGGATGCATCAAGCCCCGGATAAGCGTCCAAATCGAAACTGTGGTGATACACTATCACCTATATTTGGGATACAACTATTGAGAGTTCTGAAGAGCCAACCAGTATTACTGTATAAATTAACCCTAACACATGTAGTTTATTAATACAATAGAAGAGATAATACATGGACTAAACTAGCAAAAATATCCAAATAATTCTTAAGACTCCCCCTCTATCTGGGAAGTATATATCATACAATCCCAGTGTGTTACATAGCAAATCCAATTGAGGGTGCTCAGATATTTGGTAAAAATTTCAGCACGTTGAGCTCCAATAGACACATAATGAGTAGCAATCACACTACTCTTGATGCAGAACAGATTCGAAATAGGCCTGAGTATGAGCAAAAACACAAATAACAGGGCTGTTTTGGGGGTTGTGAACAGTAAATATGAACAGTAGATGTGAACAGTGATTTGTAGGAAGTAGAGGAAGGGTTAAAGAAGGATAGATCTAGATATCACACCTAGAAAACCCAAGGCATCACACCAATGGGCTCTTTAGCATCACACTAAAGAAAGATTGCATCAGCACAACCATAGAAGCATAAGCTAGCAATCACACTACTCTCTTTCTTGAGCACGATGACAATGTACTTCAATATGTTAGTCCTCCCATGGAATATGGAATTAGAAATAATGTGAATTGTATCTTGGTTATCACAATACATTATCATAGGTAACTTCACATTAGTTGCTATTTCTTCAAGATGATTCACCCACATAAAGCTCACATAAGGGTCATGGCCCTATGTTATTCTTCTGCACTAGATCTTGCAACAACTATTTGCTTCTTACTCTTCCAAGTTACTAGATTCCCACCGAGGAATGTACAATAGCCATTAATGGATCTCCTGTCTGATGGAGCCCATGCCCAATCCAAATTTGTGAAGGCCTCAACGTGTAAATGACAATTAGAGGTATTAATCTGATGGGGCCCATGCCCCTCTTTTTATTTATGAGAAAATCTAAGGGGATATTAATCTAATATAACCATTTTTTTATTTTTTATTTTTAAATTGTTAAGATGAGCTATCCTCAACCTCTTGCATTGCAAAGCTTGTCTATAATGTTTTACCTCTGCAAAGCTTTATTATGCAAGGGCAAACATTAGGCCAATATGAAATGTATGTTTGATGAGAAAATATTAATTATCGGCATGTTCACCCTACTTGTGGACACGGCACTTATGTTAGATACTTTCACTTTAACTAGTTCTCACTGATGTGATGACAAAAAGTACGGATGATCTATTTATTTATGAAGATGAAACTATTTCCATGAACCACTTATCCTGTAACTCAATAGCCATTTTGTATTCTGATTTATGACTAATATAGTCAAATATGTCCTAGTTGTGATTTTCTTGGAATTAGTTATCTTTAAGGCTGTGAATTTTGTCCTTGAGTTTGGACGAAAAGATATATAGATCTTATTTCTTTTGCTGGGTTAACTGAACAACAGGCTAGATGGAAGAACAGAGGGTTCTGAAAGGCAAAAACTGGTTGAGAGGTTTAATGAGCCCTCAAATAAAAGGGTGAAATGCACTCTTATATCAACTAGAGCTGGATCTCTGGGTATCAATCTTTATGCTGCCAACCGTGTAATTATTGTCGATGGTTCTTGGAATCCAACATATGATCTTCAGGCTATATATCGGGTTTGGAGGTGCATTTACTGGAACATTTGTTCTAATTGAGAACCAAGCATCCTTTTAAGCATGGTTGTCTATAATGAAATCCATTCCTCCATTGTAGGTATGGCCAAATGAAGCCTGTGTTTGCTTACCGATTGATGGCTCATGGAACAATGGAAGAAAAGATTTACAAGCGTCAGGTAATGCCAAAACAAAATTCTGGCTTTGATTTCTGTATTTTAAATGAAATTTGATGGTGAAGAGAATGTTTCAAACAGGTGACAAAAGAGGGGCTTGCAGCGAGGGTAGTCGACAGACAGCAAATACACAGAACAATTTCTAAAGAAGAGATGTTACATCTCTTTGATTTTGGTGATGATGAAAATCCTGATTCTTTGCCTGGCCTTGTAGAAGAGAATGGACACGCAACCAAACAAAGTTTGACTGGCCAAGTTGGAAGTTTTCTAAAGCAGAAAATGCCTCTTCCTCATGGAAGTTTTTCTTCTGACAAGTTAATGGAGAGTTTACTGGGCAGACATTACCCAAGGTAGATTCTGTTTTACTTCTGTGACATTTGTGAATTTTGAATTATTCTGTTTGCTCTCTTCCTCTCTGGTAATGTTAATTCTAGGCATAAAGCATCTTTATTCAATATGCGAGACCACTATGTCTAGTAATTTGAAATGGCCTGTGATCTTTGGGGTTTTAAACATGCTAGACCACTGTCTGCACTTGATCCTCTTTTAAAGCATCTTGGCATAAACTCTATCTATCTGGCCATGTTCCTCTTTTTAATATGCTAGACCACTATCTGAACTCTCTTACATTGTAATTGTTTTCATAGCATTTGATTGCATTGCCATTGGTTTCTAAATCGGTATATTATTGATCTATAAACTTCTTTCATCTAAATTGTTGTGCACTGTTCCCCCCTATTATTTGGTTACTGTCATTTTTTAAATGAATTACATTTGAACAGCCAGTATAATTTCAATGCAAAAACCTCCTGATATAGAAATTTTCTGAAGCCCTTCATATTTGGAAGTATACAAATTTATAATGAACTGTAAATTTTCTTATGCTGTGACTGACTGTTGTATAGTTTTGTTGTCTCATCTAATGGAGCTTGCTGATGCCTCAAAAGCTGTCTTTTTCAGGGAAAATTGAACAAACCAACTCTTTCATCATAAATACGGACTTTAGGTTCTGTTTGTATTTATAAATTTGAAATACATGGATTTGTCGTCAATCAATCTAAGAACATAGCTTAAATTTAGATTTAATAGTTTCAACTATAGATTCCAAGGTTGCATTAAATAGCTTTATCATAATGGATCTGAAATAACCATATAAAAGTAGTTATTTGAAATCGATCTCGTTCTAGTTACAAGGATCCTAGCAAAATACATGTTTTATTTTGCTATCTCGACTTATCTTCTTCTATAGTTTTTCTATCCATCTATAATAATTAATTTTTCAATATTTTTATAAAATTCAACTTGAAACTCATCCATCCAAACAGATCTGTAGTGACTGATACTTAAAACTGGAACGTTCTCTTGATTATTGTACAATATATATGACAAGTAAAATGTTATATTACTCCAGTAACTAAATAAACTGTTTTGCGTTCAGATGGATTGCAAATTACCACGAGCATGAGACCCTTCTGCAAGAGAACGAAGAGGAGAAGCTATCAAAAGAGGAACAAGACATGGCGTGGGAAGTATACAGGAGAAGTCTAGAATGGGAGGAAGTGCAGCGAGTCCCACTTGACGAATCTGCATTCGAGCTCAAGCCAGCAGTTCCAAATATACCCCCTCCCGTTCCAGACAGCAGTAAAACCACACAACCACCTAAGGGCAGTTTGAGAAATCGTTTGGTGCAACGTAAATGCACGAATCTATCACACTTGTTAACGCTCAGGAGTCAGGGCACGAAAGTCGGTTGCTGTACTGTATGTGGGGAATGTGCTCAGGAGATAAGCTGGGAAGAGTTGAATAGAGAAGGCAAATCGGTAAGGTGAAGTGGTCGGTTGTCCGAGAACAATGCAATCAATTTTGTTGATGTTTGTTGTAATGTGATCGGACCCTTTTTTTGTAAAGGGGCTGTTGTAAGTAAAAGTTACTAAATGAACAAACTATACATTCTTTTTGACGGGTATAAGTTGTAAAAAAACTCCCATGTTCTTACTTGAATTGTATCTTTGCTATAGGTTCACACTTTTGTGTTCGGTGTCCGTAGTTGTAAAAGTCCTGCTTATAGGAGTTGTGTCTTGTAAATTTTAAGAATTTAAATTTTCCATATTTTAATGATATGGTATGGAAAGAAATATTCAGCATCATTTATTTAATTTTTTGCATTTAAACGATATAATATGTTAGCTCTTGTATATGATATGGCCGCGGTGGCTTGATTTCTCTCTTTTGCTTGTTGGATCTTGGGTTTATGAAGAAAAAGGAAAATGAAAAATAAACAAATTTATTTTATTTCATTTGATTTAGAGTGCATTGTTCCTAGTGAAGCTCTAGAGTTGCACTCTGTAGTTAATGGCTACTATGCGTGAACAACTAGTCAAGATTAGTTAATGTCAAGTACGATTCATCAGCATAACAGCGATTTCTTAATCCTATGCCATATTACTAATTCAAAGTGTGGTTGACTGAGGCAATTGTGATTAATTATGCTTAGGTTATAATCATAACTAGCAAGTGTTAGTGACATTGATCACAAAAGTGTCACAATTAATTTTGTCTTGGTCTCAATTGTTTGTGACATTGATTCATCACCATTTTGTCTTGGTCTCAATTTATGCTTAGGTTATAATCATGAGTAATGATTCATCCCCCCTTTTCCCCCACCCCCTTTGACCCCCTCTCTCTCTCATTGGTTACCTTTTCTTTTTCTTTTTCTTTTTTTTTCCTGCTCCACCAATCACCCCCTGCCACGTGACAAAGGGGGTGAGGGGGTCCCAAGCATTATTTTATAATCATAACTAGCAAGTGTTTGTGACACCTCCTCCTTGGATGCTTTTCCTAAAACTTTGGTGTAATCATCTTGTTTCTTTTGTTTTGATATGTATTTATCATGTGTGTAGTTTGGTAAAATTGAACTAAACATCATGAATGAGTTTGTTGTGCTCATTTTTATTGGAGGAGAACCCTAATTTGAAGGGTTTGTGGATAACTATGATGTTAGCCCTTCGATTGGAAACCCCCATGGTTTGACTGTAAATGGATTCGATTCGGATCGGATCTGTTAAAATCCAAATTCAATCTGAATCCGTTTATCTCATATTTGATTATAGATCACTTGAATCCAAAAATTTTGGATCTCCTATTCAATAATCTGATCTGATTTGATTAGTGTTTTTTTTTTTTTTTTTTTTGCGTTTTTGGGTGTCAATTTGTATTTTTTTTTTTTCATTCAAATTAAGAATAAAAAAATTGGATCGGGGTTATCAAATCAGATTTTTGTATATCTGATTCGTTTAATAATTGGATTAAATGAATTCGAATTACCAAACTGGATATTTTATAAACGAATTTGGATTATTAGATCGGATTTGGACTATACTCAAATTAAATCCAAACAATTGACAGTTCTACTCTGAGCCTTAGATTTTAGCCATGGACATGAAATTTGACGGCAAAGAGTCAGGCATAACTTATTATTAAATATTGAAAAAGATGGATGAAATGTAATTTTTCAATTTCTATATGCACTATAAGATTTTCTTAAAAATTTCATAGTTAGAAATTCAATACTTCGATATTTTATTTACGACGCCAAATTTTATTTTATGTCCAACAAACCTCAAAGGAAATTTTTCCGAGGGCAAAGTGAATGGATGAAACAAAGCCATGGCACAGTTTTTATATCTCCATGTTGCAATGCATTTCTAATTATAAAATTATATTTTAAGATTTATGTCTCTCGAAAATCTTCATATGCTCTAAATGACTAGAAATATATTGAGATAAAGAAACAATCTATTCTTAAAAAAAAAAATTACGAAACGATGAAATTTAAGAAGAAATTATCCAAAAGCATGTTTATTAATATTGAGATTCCTAAAAAAAAATTATAATTTGATTCACAATAATATGACAAGATACGTGTTAACTTTGTATTTATTACATGTCTAATGATATAGAGGTCAACTCTCCCGCTATGTCATTATAAGTGAATTTATGAGTTTAAAATTGTAAGGTTCTAACACTTGTGACATTGATTCATCACCATTTTGTCTTGGTCTCAATTTATGCTTAGGTTATAATCATAACTAGCAAGTGTTTGTGACACCTCCTCCTTGGATGCTTTTCCTAAAACTTTGGTGTAATCATCTTGTTTCTTTTGTTTTGATATGTATTTATCATGTGTGTAGTTTGGTAAAATTGAACTAAACATCATGAATGAGTTTGTTGTGCTCATTTTTATTGGAGGAGAACCCTAATTTGAAGGGTTTGTGGATAACTATGATGTTAGCCCTTCGATTGGAAACCCCCATGGTTTGACTGTAAATGGATCGGATTCGGATCGGATCTGTTAAAATCCATATTCAATTTGAATCCGTTTATCTCATATTTGATTATAGATCACTTGAATCCAAAAATTTTGGATCTCCTGTTCAATAATCTGATCTGATCCGATTAGTTTTTTTTTTTTTTTTTTTTTTTTTTTTTTGTTCTTCAATTTTATATAATTTGATTTTTTTTTTTTTGGGTGTCAATTTGTATTTTTTTTTTTCATTCAAATTAAGAATAAACAAATTGGATCGGGGTTATCAAATCAGATTTTTGTATATCTGATTCGTTTAATAATTGGATTAAATGAATTCGAATTACCAGACCGGATGTTTTATAAACGAATTTGGATTATCAGATCGGATTTGGACTATACTCAAATTAAATCCAAACAATTGACAGTTCTACTCTGAGCCTTAGATTTTAGCCATGGACATGAAATTTGACGGCAAAGAGTCAGGCATAACTTATTATTAAATATTGAAAAAGATGGATGAAATGTAATTTTTCAATTTCTATATGCACTATAAGATTTTCTTAAAAATTTCATAGTTAGAAATTCAATACTTCGATATTTTATTTACGACGCCAAATTTTATTTTATGTCCAACAAACCTCAAAGGAAATTTTTCCGAGGGCAAAGTGAATGGATGAAACAAAGCCATGGCACAGTTTTTATATCTCCATGTTGCAATGCATTTCTAATTATAAAATTATATTTTAAGATTTATGTCTCTCGAAAATCTTCATAGGCTCTAAATGACTAGAAATATATTGAGATAAAGAAACAATCTATTCTTAAAAAAAAAAAAATTACGAAACGATGAAATTTAAGAAGAAATTATCCAAAAGCATGTTTATTAATATTGAGATTCCTAAAAAAAAATTATAATTTGATTCACAATAATATGACAAGATACGTGTTAACTTTGTATTTATTACATGTCTAATGATATAGAGGTCAACTCTCCCGCTATGTCATTATAAGTGAATTTATGAGTTTAAAATTGTAAGGTTCTAACACTTTTCTCTCAAAAGGCTCTTGTAAATTGAATCATCAAATTGGATTCCATGATACCCAACAAAATGATTCAGTTGACCAAGCTATACATGCCAATTTGCCCCACCTCACATCCCCAACTTGTAGTTTTTCTTGCTTCGACAAGAAACATAACACCACAAACCTTACTCTATTTCTATGTATATATTTAATTTAATTTATCAAGTATAATATAATTAAAATATCAAATATATAAATTTATCTCATTTTCGCATCTATATCTATTATCTCTTATCTTTAATTTTTCTTAATTTCTCAACTGTCGTCACTCATATGTCATTATATTTTTCTCAAGAAAAACTCTCACTTATTTTTTTCTAAGAATCTTCTTTTGTTTCTTGCTATACCTTTGTTCAAGAGCAAGGCAAACTCATCCTCTAGCCACCTCAATAAAAGAAACTCCAAATCCAAATCCAAAAACAAAAATCCAAAATATTTAGATAAGTTATAAATAGAAAGAAGTGGTTAAATTGAGACCAAGACAAAATTAATTACAAAATTGTCACAAACAATAGAATTTTCTAAATGAGGCTTCACAATTATCTCTTCCAATTTCTCAATGTTGATTTTCATGGTATCCTCTCATCGTCCTCTTTGCGGACGATAAGAAGTATCCATTGCCTCCACCACCACGACCGCCACAATGGCTTCATCTAATCACCACCATCACCACCACCACCCTTTGAAGCTCTTAGAAATCAGCGTCCTCTCAGCCCAACACCTCGCACCCGTGTCCAAACTCTTACGAACCTACGCCGTGGCATGGGTTGACCCTGACCAAAAATTAACCACCAAAGTGGACCACCACGGCCACACCAACCCCACCTGGAACTACCGCTTCGTGTTCCGTGTCAACGACGATTTTCTCAACTCTGCTGCTTCCGCCATCACCATTGAAATCTACAATGTCTCGTGGTTGCGAGACATCCCCATTGGCACCGTCACTGCCCTCATCACCGACATCCTCCCTCCCTCGCTCCGATCCCAAAAAAACTCCACCATCCGATTAGTCCCCCTCCAGATCCGCCGCCCCTCTGGCAGCTTCCACGGCGTTCTCAACCTTGGTGTCAACCTCATCGACTGCACCCGTCGCAGCATGCCTCTCGATAGCCAACTCAGCCCTGCCACCACCATTCAAATCGACGTGAAAGAAGATAAAAATAAAGAGAACATTATTATGCAACCAAATGATGCCAAGATGAAAAAGTTGTGGCGGTCACGGAGCGAGCGCAGCATTATGACTGCGTCGGTAAAAGGGGAACATTCAGGTTCGAAAGGTGTATCGGATGAGAGTCGTTTGAGTTTTGGAAAGCGTTCGAGGTCTAAGGCCACGACGCGGTCGAGTGCTTCGTATATGAGGCCTATACCTTCAGAGGTGGCAGCGTTTATGGCGAAAGGGTTGTATTCGGATGTGGGGAGCTCTATATTCGAGAACTGGACGGTGGTGGGTGATAACAATGAGAATTCATCGTCAAAACACAAGGTGGCAATGTGGAAGAAGAAAAATGATGACGGCGATCAATATGATCGTCGTCATCATTCGAATTTGAAGAAGAAGAAGAATTCGAAATCCATTGCAGAAGGATTGCTTTCTTGCTTTGGGATTACTTGCGGGTATGAGTGCAACATCATGTGTGGGACTTCTAAAAACAAGAACAAGAGCAAGAACAAGAACATGAACATGTTTGGTGTGAATCATTCTTCTGAAAACATACATTTGTTACACAGGTGAATTCATGGAGGAGGATGTGGGAAGTGAGCACAATGGGTTGTTTGGAACTTTTTACCAATACAAAAACTAATCATAGAACTCAACACAAAAAATACATTTACAAAAAAAATTATCCATCTATATATATTTTGTGTTTAATTTTTTTTATATTTTTGATTGACTGATTTCTGTATTTTTGGAACTTAGAATTATGGGTTAGATCATGATCCGCAAATTAATATACATATATTTTGGAACTTAGGTTTTGGGGGATTAAATCATGATCAAAAGTGTGAGTTTGGGAGTATGTAGGGGGATTGATATGGTGGTGTAAGGTAAGTCTCTAGGTTGTTGTTGTGTACACATTTTTTTTTTTCTTTCTAATGAGTGGTTTTTTTGTATAATCATTTTGCCCTTTTGCTCCTTTCCTGATTCTGTTTAGAAATTATTATCATTCATTTTGCCTTGACCTATTTCAATCATTTGTTTAGAGAATAAAAATTCACCTTATATCACTCACCAACAATAAATTTATACGTGGAGTGTAAATCTTGCCACATACACATGCGAGAGTAATTATTATGTTAATATTAAATGGTGATATCAATAACCTAATATTACAGTTACTTTAGTTTTTAATATATAATTATGTATTTTTTATAATTTTTTTATGTGAAGACAAGACGACTCATAATTATAAAAATAATTCTACAATATTCATTCATCAAACAATCAAATTAAATTAATAATCATTTGATACCATTATGAAAAATTAGATAATAATTTTAAAAATAAATTATTTACGTTTTTTAACATAATTTTCTGATATTATTACTCATAAATTTATTTTTAACTTGCCAAAAGTACCGTCCAAGTTTGCTGTTTGGTGGGCCCGCTTTGCTTATGTAAGATTTCCACGTCAGCTTCTGGTAAAAGTGTGAGTGTATTACGTTTGTAGACTTATGATTGCTAAATGATCATATTATTGTTAAAATAACAACAATGTTAAGATGGATATATTTACGAGGCAATTAGATATCAGTGGAAACAGAAAAAAAAATAAAATATATATTTATAAAAAAGTAATAATTATTAATAATAAAATTATAAATTATAAAAAAAATTGTAAATAAATTTTCTATTTCCACTGATATTTAGACTGTGTTTGGTTTAATTTTGAAATTGTGATTCTCTTTTTGGAGTTGTGATTTGAGTGTGAAATTATGAGTTGAGTTTTGAAAAGAGAAAATTTGTTTGGTTATGAGTTTTGAAAGGTGTTTTTGAATTTTGAAAACAACCCGAACATCCTCTCGGTCATCTGACCGATTGACTAGAATAGTGACTCTTTTTTTTTGGGTAGCAATTTCAAACTATTATTTGAAAAAAAAAAAATATATTTGTTTTAAATATTTTTTAAATATAAAATTTATTTTTTGTAGATTTTTTATAAAAATAATTTAACAATTCCATCACTAATAATCTTCAACACTATATCATTAAAAGAGTTTTGAATTGAATTTTGTGTTGTGCGCTTGGTTATGAGTTTTGAAATTAATTTTTAAATTGAGTTTTGTGTAATTTTGAATTGTGTTTGGTTATAAATTTTGAAAAGTATGCCTTTGCAATCATGATTCCAAAGGCAAACCAAATAGAGTTTTAATTTTTCTTTCTATTTATTTATCATTTTTTAATATTTTATGTGTCACCATTATTTTAAAAATAGATACGAATGGTACAAATTGTAAAACTAATGTATTGTAGCAACAACAAATATTTGATAAACAAAGGGTGAATTACAATAACTTTTACTAAGATGTAGTAAAAATAAGGTTAATCACATAAATTTGATATAATTATATTAAACTTCTTTAAAGTATACTTATGTTTGTTTTCATCAATAATTCATTAATTATATAATTTTTTTTTTAATATTATCATTTTTGAACGCTAAAATGTATATATTTTACATTATTTATCGTTGTATTTTCACACTATTTATATTAATTTATGTCACTTTAATCATACTTAAAGAGAAATGTCAATATGATTATGCAAAAATTATGAAATTTGTCTTATTTTTTCTAAATATCAAGAGATGTCGATGTAATTCACCCATAAACAAAATACGGTATACAAAAATAATCATTCTAAAATTATTGACGAGAAAAATGAATAACTCTGCTATTTATGCTTTGAAATGGTGCTCTTTTTTTCTTTTTTTTTCCTTCTTAAAAGAAGAGCGTTTTATATACTTTGAAACTTGTTCTTTGTAGACAAGAAGTAGAGCCTCCATTCACCAAAACCTTATGATTGAGTACAGGCTTGTATATATGCTTCTAAGCCATGAATAATCAATGTTCCCAAACTTACATTTAAACATGAATGATATATAAAAGTTTCAATTCAATGATGACGCAAATATTTTTAAAAATGAGTGAAGAGAAGATGAATTATTCAAGCCATCTTCTTGGTAGCAGCACCCTTTTTCTCCTTAGCACAATACTCAAATAAACTTCCATCAAAGCAACGTCTCACAGCTTCTTTTGTTAGGAAACCTTCTGTATCCTTTGCAAGCATATATAGAGCTCCCCATTCGATCTTGCTTGCATACCTGGTGTACACATTATAACTATTAGAAGTGAGACCCATTAAACTAATACTGTGATAATGACATAAACAAAACTATTAGGACAGGTGGGGGTGCAATTAGGACGGGTCTAATTCACGAAATCTAAGCCCAATCCAAATATTTTTATGACTTGAACAATATTTTTTTTTAAACTTAGTGTGAGCTTGGGTAGAAATTCAATTGAATTCAAAATGATGTTGGGTTGATGCACTGAATAATTCGAGTAATCCAAAATCCGAATTCTATATATAAATATAAAAGGCTAAATTATAAACGTGATCTTTATAATTTGACTCTTGTATCAATTTTATCTCTATCATTCCAATTGTCTCAATTTCGTAATTTAATTTACACCGTCTCAATTTAATTTAATTTAATTGATAACATCTATTAAGAAATTTGACAAAAATTAAAAGCAAAGTAGTCCATTCAAAAAGGAATCGACCATTTTGTTAGAGAGATTGAATAAACTATTTTACCATTTGATTTCAGTTTAATTTTTATAATGATGTTACCAATTAAGCTAAATTAACCTAATATGAAAAATTCAAAAGTAAAATTAAAATTATTGCAACCAAAACTATAAAAATTAAAGCGAAACCAGAGGCGCACGGACTACCCGCATAGTTTTTATCCATTATAAAAAGATATTTAATATAAGTAATTAAAAAAAAAAATTGATCATTGAAATTTATGCTCCCCGTATAACTCATAACTCATATTGGACTTAGACACAGGCCTGGCGCTGAGATTTCTGAGGCCCGAAGCCCATAATAAGTATCACTTGATCAGTTGAGGCCCTTCACATTTTTTATTTTTATTTTTTGATTCAACGGAAATTTATAAACTACTAAAACAGAGAGTAACTAAACATAGTTCTTACAAAGTAAATAAACAACCCAAAGCAAAACACAACCTGGGCAAAGTAACAGCAGGCTACAGCAAGAAAGAAAGAGAAAAAGAGCCAAGAGAATTAGGTTTGGGTTTGGGGTTTTGTCTCTTTTTTCTTAGTTTTCAAAATTTTTTTTTTTTTAATTCTTTTAAGAAAATTCCTTCCGTTTTGGGCAGATTGGACTTCCGGGCCCTTAGATTTTCAAATGGGCCAGCTTATTTTAAGTTGGGGCCCTTTAATTTTTTTGGACTTAAAAGATACCTAGTATATTGCATTAATCCTAATAGGAGGGGCCCTTTTTTGGACCTATTTTGGGGGCTCAAAGCCATGGCCCGGTTGGCCTGGCGCCAGGGCCAGCCCTACTTAGACAACCCCTCAATCCAACTGAACAAGTACAAGTCGCACTACTCACACAAAGTCCGCACACATGAGAAACATACATATATATAAAGAGAGAGAGATGAAGAGGGAGAGAGAGAGAGAGAGAGACCAGCCGAAGAAATCGAATGCGTCGCGATTGGCTTCAGTCATGTGCCAAATTTCCTTGAAGGAAAGCTTATCAGGGACTGTACGAGCATATTTGCTGAATATGTTCTCAAGATTAGCTGGAATGTACCTGCAAAGCAAACCATGGAGATACAAGAACAACATATAAATGTCTTCTTTTTTTAATATTCATATATACTTAACATGAGATATGATAATTATATAAAATTATATATTTTTTGCACTTATTTTCCACGTGTCATATTTTTTAAAATTATTATATCGATATATCTATATCGTGTAACATGTCTGTCTGTCTGTTTACATATTTCTCACCTCCCCTCTGTGTCATAGGTCGCTGAATCGCTTCCATGCTTGGCCTTATGTATGTTTTGGATGTAAATAGGAAAGAATGGTGAAGGTAACCAAGTCTGCCACAAAAAAAGTACATACAGATAAATAAATAAACTCCAAAGTAAGAAGTTGCAATGGCAAAGCAAATTAATTACCACATTGATCACATTTATTGACAACTTACAGGTAGAGTGGCATAACTCATAGATCCATGAATAAATATCATCAGGATGAAAGAAGCCACCACATTGAAACCAATGGCTTTGAATCCTGAATTCAAATTCTTATCAAGATCCAAATTCAAACTAGAGTTGGATAATGAAATTCAAACATCAGTCTCCCAAGGTATATACGTTGGAAAAAATAACAAAAATTTGAATAGAATGACCAAACTGTTCAATTTGAAACTGTAGGAACAAAGTAAAATTTGAGTCAAAGTATAAAAATTGAAAGTGTATAGTTTGATCCTGTATGCTTGAATTTGATTATGTATTTTTTATATATATATTTTAATTTGTACCTTTAAAAGAGTCCCAAGGGTAGATAATGCCATCATCATCCTGGTCAAAGAAGGCTACATGTTGTTGAAGCACAGACATGTTACGATGCTTGTGTCCCCATGTTCCATTCACATTCTCTGCATCTGGTGCTGCCATCGCTCGAGCGAGGTCTGCGCAAATAACAAATTCCATCGTCTAAGCAATAATATCAATTTATCTACAGGTACAAGAATTCGATCATAAAACTGGGCGCAACCCTTTTATATGGGATAATGCTACATAAGAAAAGTTAAAATTTTTGTGTTGAAAACTACATATTCATGGTAATGAACGAAACACTGCCTTATTAATTTAAATTGTTAATAGATTTGATGTTTGATTAATAGGAATTTTCATGTATGGTGATATAGATTCTTGTGATCTCTTCATTTTTAATCAAAATACCCAACATTATTCTTGTAATAAAAAATAATCATTAGCACATTATTCTAAATGATTTTCCACTCCTCACAAGTTTTTGCTAAATACTTTTATCATCAAGCAATTATAGATCCAAAAGTGAAAAAAATGAAGATTGAGAAAGAGAAAGAGAGATGATAAATATAATTACAGGGCTTGGGAAGCTTAGTATCGAGGTCCGATCGGACCTTCCTCTGGGCAGTGATGGGGGCCTTCTCAGCAACAGTTGCCATGGCTTCATTTGATGTAGTATCAGTAGGTGCTGCTTTCTCTTCCATCTCTTGTTTCTTTCTCTATCTCAAAAACAGATATCCTTTTTTTTTATTTTTATTACAAAAACTCACTCTCAGGCAAAGTTTCAAACTGCAAACTTTAATGGAAACAAGAGTGTCCACATAACTATATAACTATGTATTCACATGCATTGAGAGAGAGAGAGAGAGAGAGAGAGAGAGAGATACCTAACTCCAAATGACTAGGGGGGGCTAGTCATAAGGTGCCAGATGTTGCAAATTGGCATGGACACATGCTTTGGACTAGCTAAAGCTCTGGGGAGAAGTTATCCGGTGATCCTGGGACATGGTCAAATAGTGTTCTAAAAATGTTGTGATTGGTTAAAGAAGTGGAATCAACCATTTTGTATGATTGTATCAAAATCTGAGAAACAGTAGAAAGACTGGCATTTGGTAATTGGTTGGGACAAAATGTTCTATGAGTGTCCCTAGAACACATAATAATTTTTCAGCTAAGGAGGTTTGGAGATTTTGGAGGGCCTCCCTCGTAGGAGTACTACACGGCAGTGAAGGCATAACCAAAACCAATGTGGGTAATTAGAGCTATTAGAGCTCACAAATTAGAATTTTAAAATATTTTTGTTATCCCCTACTTCTAAACTATCAAATGGTATAGGATGAGGATCCCCTCCAGTCATTGTTTTGGATCGGATGAGACTGTTTTGGCCCGTGGAGTCCACTATGGGGTTCATTTTGATAATTCAAATTGTTCATTTTGTCTGGTATTTCATGTATTTCATTCGTAAAAAAAATTAAGTCAATCCGATAATTATAACTAATAAATTGTATTTTTCACCAAAAAAAAAATAGATGACAAACAAATAAACTATATATATATTTTTTAATGAAAAATACGATAAATTGAACTAGTTATAGCTATCGGATTGATTTAATTTTTTTTGTGAATGAAATACAAGAAATATCCAACAAAAAAATAAACTACATATTTTTTTTTTTGTGAAAATGCAATAAATTGAACTAGTTATAATTATCGGATCAACTTAATTTTTACACAAAATACCCGATAAAATAAACGATTTGAATTATTAAAATAAGACTCCTAGTAGATCTCACAAACCGGAACAGTTCCGTTCAGTTGAGGGGATCCACCTCCCCATTATAATGGTATTGTTCTAAATAATGATGAACGGAAATTTTTTATGAATGGAATAATATTCACTCACATTTATTAGATTGTTAGAAGATAAAAGCATTCAGTGTATTTTACAAATTCTTACTTATAGTGACACTTATTTTTGGGGTGATTTTTTCGAAAGTCCTATTCCTAATTGTTATATTTCATTTAATCCATCTTCTTTTTTAACATTTCATTAAGTCTTGTTTAAAATAATATGACCAAATCACCCTTTCAACTTTTTGTACATGTTTCAATTTTGAAATTAATACACAATAAAAAAAGAAATCCCTCATTTCATTCTCATTTATTCCATAGAAAAAATCTCTCACATTCCTAAAACCATAAATCTTTTACATTTTGAAAATCTCTCACTAAATATTAATGTGAATTTTTATATTACAAATGCATGCTGATAAATAATATTCCCTCATAGAACCATACACTGTGAACATTCACATTGTTTATGCTAGTGTATAACTATTTTTTAATGTGAATATTAACATTAACTATGATTTGTTGTGAGTAATACATGGTTAACGTTGTCATGTTATTTTGGTATTATAGAGACACTGTGAATATTCACATTGTTGGTAATTGTTTGTTATTGTGTGCATATAACCATTCACGAATGTTGATGTGAACATTCACATCTCTATGTTATATTACTAAGATGCACAATATATTTTAACCAAAATATCACATTGTTATTTACGCTTATATAACTATTTCTAAAGGTAAATATTAACATTGATTAAATATGTGATAATTACAACACCAATGCGAACTTTCACATCATGTAAAAATCATAAAAACTCATACAATAATCAGTAATATGTGAATGTGAATGCGAACATTCACATTATGCAACAATAATGCAATCATCAGTTTACATTGTACATCATGCAACCATCACATGTTTCTAATGTTGAAGTTCACATCACTAAATTCAAAACATTAAAATCTAATAATCCACAATAATAACGACTTTAGTGGATTTGCATGTTCACATTCACAAAAATACCTAATTAATAAGCATACATATACATGAATATATAATACCATATCAATCCATCTCGAAACAAAAAGTCAAATTTAACTTTAATAAATTGTTAAACAATTCTGAACATACATCCTTACCAACACATACCTATATGTAGTTGCAAAACAAAAACGGTGCTAACCTTGCCCCTACAATATCTGAATGGAAGAAAATAGAGTTTTGAACTGCAACAATGGAAAAACACAGAGTTTTAAACTATAACAATGGAAGAACACAGAGTTTCGAATTGCAACAATAAATTCGAATTGCAACAATAAAAGAATGATGATGACGATGATGATGATGATGAGCTTCTTTCTGGGTTTTTTTCTATTTTGTTTCTTTCTTTGACGATCATCACCCAATTCATTTCTCTGAGTTTTTATTATTTTGTGATTTTTCTCAATTCTCAAACGGGCAAATTAGAGAGAGAGAGAGAGAGCATGAGAGAGAGTGTGAGAAGAAGTTTCTTTGTGGTACAAGATTTTTTTTTCAACCATGTTTTCTTGTCAATATTATAATATAATAATATATATTTAGTTTTTAAAAAAATCTATCCCACTAATTTCAAAACAGTCAAAATAGAAAAAGAAAACAAGAAGATTACAATTGTGTGTAATACTTACTTTTTGCCCTTTGAATTCAACTATCCAAAAGTCAATAGTTAAAAAGTCAACAAGGGTAAAATGGTCATTTTGATTTTATTACGATATTTTATTATACATCTTTTCGTAAAAAGTAAAAAAGTAATTCTAAATATGCATATTTTTTTTCTCTACTTTTTTAGCTAAAAAGTTAAAAAGTGCATTTATATAACACATTCCAAACAACCCATATCCCAGTAATTTCAATACAGTCAAAATAAAAAAAAGGAAACAAGAAGATTATAATTGTATGTAGGGGTGAGCAGCGGATATACCGATCCGCCAAAACCGACCGAACCGAACCGAACCGATCCGCCGCATTTTGGACGGATGCGTGATGACAAGCGGACGGTTGCGGATTGATTTTCTCAAATCCGCCAATTTGGCGGACGGATGGCGGATTTTAGATTTTTTGGCCGCAACCGAACCGCCAAACCGCCAAATCGCGAGCACCCCTAGTAATTTATAAGACTTTGTATTTTCAATTTGTTTAAATATTATGTTTGTGTTTTCAATTGAAAAAGAGTTTAAATATTCTGTTGAAAAAAAGTTTTCAACTTGAATATATTTTTTGAATTGAAAAAAATAAACGTATTATTCATATATATTTTTTAGTTTTTAAATGTAACTCTAAAAATAATAAATAGAAAATATGATATATGCTGGTTGGTTTTTGTTTTCAAAAACATATGTAGATGTAACAATACAGAGACATTCAATATCTACTTCTGCTCTGTTCATGGTTTTGGTGGTTTGAATTGTTATTATATTTTAAGAATCACAGATTGTAATACTTTATGGGGATGAATCATGCTGTGATTGTAATATATGGATGAGGCATGCAGTGATCGTGATATTCTAAAGTTTCAAACTTTTTTTCTTTGGATAAGGCATACAGTGATTGTAATACTTTTTTAAGTCATTGACTGTAATACTTTCTTTTTCTTTTTTTTCTTTTTTTTTTTGTTTGAGGAAGTGCACAAGTTGAATTATGTTGAAAATTTATAAAATTTTAAACCGCCAAACCGATTCGCATCTATCCGCCAAACTGCCAATCCGCTCAATCCACATCCGCCGGATTGGCGGACGGATGCGGATTGATCAATCCGCTAATCTGGTGGACGGATGGCGGATTGGAGGTTCCGTGGCCGCAACCGACCCGCGCCCACCCCTAATTGTATGTAATATGTACTATCAAAAATAGAACAAATGGTATGTTAGTCCTAAAAATATTATAAATAAGGATAAAAAGACTTCCTAGGACACAAGTCTAAATGTATGGCACTAGATGGAATACAAGAAAACTTTATGATCTTATTAAGTTATAAGTTCTCTAAATGAGATTTATAAATAAATCTCTCTTATTTTTGTGCCACATGATACTCCAATGCAACTTAAGATTTTTATAATAGGACATAAGTAATTTTGTAAGATATTTTGGGACTACCTAGGTGTCGTTTGGGAAGTGGGTTGGCTTTTTGACTTTTTTGGCTAGTTTAGCTTGGGGCTAAAAAGCCTGGTTTGGGAAGGACTTTTTGACTTTTTAGTGAGGTGTCCACATGTTAAATGATCGAACTGCCCTTGGTGTTTTACATTTCCACACCTAGCCGTCCTTCCTTCACGTCAGCGTCATTGTACTTTTTTTTTTTTTGGATGGGGCATATTTTTATGGTTCTTTTTTTTTTAATTTATGTTTTTGTCATTTTTATTTTTTTTGTATACATTAATTTGTTTTTATTTTTCAAAAATGGTTTTCATATGTTTCATTTATTTTTAAATTACGTGGCAAATGCTAATTTCTGTTTTTAATTTTTTTTTAAATTTACGTTTTTGTTATTTTTATTTTTATTTGTATACATTAATTCGTTTTTATTTTTCAAAAATGGGTTTTTATGTGTTTTATTTATTTTTAAATTACGTGGCAAATGCTAATTTCTGTTTTTAAATTTTTTTTTCGATGAGGCGTATTTTTCTGGTTCTTTTTTTTTTAATTTACGTTTTTGTCATTTTTATTTTTATTTGTATACATTAATTTGTTTTTATTTTTCAAAAATGGTTTTTCATGTGTTTTATTTATTTTTAAATTACGTGGCAAATGCTAATTTCTGTTTTTATTTTTTTATTTTTTGAATGAGGCGTATTTTTTATGTTCTTTTTTTTTAATTTACGTTTTTGTCATTTTTATTTTTATTTGTATACATTAATCTGTTTTTATTTTTCAAAAATGGTTTTTCATGTGCTTTATTTATTTTAAAATTACGTGGCAACTGCTAATTTCTGTTTTTACTTTTTTTTTTTTTTTGGATGAGGCGTATTTTTGTGGTCCTTTTTTTTTTCATTTATGTTTTTGTCATTTTTATTTTTATTTGTATACATTAATTTTTTTTTATTTTTCAAAAATGATTTTTCATGTGTTTTCTTTATTTTTAAATTATGTGGCAACTGCTAATTTATGTTTTTAATTTTTTTTTACTTTGTTTGTTTTTTTTGGAAAAAGGTTTTTCATGTAATTTATTTAAAATGATGTGAAAAATCATAATGCATTGACGTGGCACATGATAATTTTTTATGTCTCTTTTGGCTTTTTGTTGTTTTTTATTTGTCCTTTTATGTTTTTGTTAATTGACGTGGCACATGATAATTTTTGAATTTTATTTTTATTTTTTTTATTTGTTTGACCCTTTTTTTTTCGAAAAGGCTTTTTTCTGTGGTTTTTGTTTTTTCAAAGTTAGGCACGTCACTAACTGAAAGGGATTATATTCCCGTGTAAACACATTCATATTGTACATGATAATATATTTACATACAATCATTTCCACATGTGTTACCAACGTTAGAAGCCTACGAATATTAGGTAAACTATTATATATTTCCTAACGTTCCGTTATTACGCAAGTACATTAACTTGTCGCATATGCAAAGTCGCACCAATGCCATATACGGGTCCTTATCCCCAACCATTTAACCATCCTCGTCATGTTCAACTTCTGGTATGGCATTTACTATTGTCATAGCCTCTTCCTCGTCCCAGCTTGGGTGAATAGTTGTTGGATTACCTGTGTTTCGCCGTATATAATTATGTAATGCCATTGACGCACCTACTAACTGAACTTGCACATTTGCAAAGTCATACCGAGGCATGTCTCTAATAAACCCCCATCAATTTTTCCAGGTATCGAAAGTGCATTCCACCACACTGCGTAATGACAAGTGAACTTTGTTAAATAATTCCCTTGGGATTTTTGCCGTCCTGTTCCGTTCACTACTTCGGAATTGTTGTTGGTGGTAACGGCTGCCTTTGAAAAGTGCTAGGTAACCTACCCAGTTTGGATAGCCAGCATCAACAAGATAATATTTGCTTGCAGATAGTACAAGAATTTATGACACGAAAATCAACATTGTGCTTCATTTTCAAGTAACGCAGTTTGACGAAATATTATACCTCCATCAATTTTTCAATGCAATGTGTTACCTTCTTTAGGATGTGGAAATGGGACATTATCATTTGTTAGTATCTTGTTGAAGATGCGACTATCGTGCATACTTCCTTCCCATCCGCACGAAATGAAGATGAAACACATGTCAAAATCGCACGCGGCCATGACATTTTGCGTGTGACAGTATTTCCTACCGAAATATGTTGACCCATCTGGCCCCATAACCCATGCACTTACATGTGTTTTGTCTATGGCTCCAATATAGTCCTGCCAACGACCCAATTGTATTGTTACTCCTATGGGTACATGTAATGGTTATTTTCATACGTCACGTCCATTTAAAAAATAAATAAATAAATAACTGGACTTGGCACACATAACTGGGTGAGGTTTTTCAATAGTTCCTTGAATGGTAGTTATTTTCGTTTAGACTGCACGTATGGATGTATATGATACTGACTATATGTGGGCCGACAATGAACAACGGTGAACTCTTTCATGGAAGTTAATACGTTATGCATGTGCTGAGACACAGTCTCCCCCGAATGTTGGAACTGTTCTTGGATTTCCTGATTTTGCATCCCTTTCAACACGTGGATAAACATTGCAACGCTTTCTTCAACAGCTAAGCCATGTGGACATTGCGGTACTTGTAACCCAAAATCATTTACTAATGTCTCACACAAAGCCGCAAAAACTTCCTTCAACATGCACACATTTTCCTCAAATCGACCCACATGGCCCGCATATAGTTCGGATATCCATGCATGCCCGGTCAATATAGAAGTGCAACATGGTGTTTTAGACATGTGTTTTTCGTACCACTCTTGGACATACCGGCATGCTTGTAGAAATGTCCAGTTGTTTTGTTGTTGCAGCTGTACGGCCATTTGATTAAGCATTTCCCTTAAATTGTGATTGTTGCTTCCATCCTAGGGATTCATCACGTCTTGGTTCTTGTGAAACCTATAACAGTGGAATGGTTTCAATCAGTTTACACGTGATGCATTGACTCAAATGTAATAACAGTTTGCAAGTACAGAATGCCGACATCATTTTTAATGTAAAAAGTTGCGTCACCATGGAATAGATGACACGTAACAGTAACGTACAATTGCATGTACAATGATAAGAATTAAAAAACTAGTGGACCTGGTCGTAATTGTTTAGAGGGGGACCATTAACACACCAATGGTATTACTAACACAACCACAAAAGATGATGTTAATCTAACATAATAGTTTCGCAAACAAAATAAATAAATACAAAAGCACCACACGCAGCCCGTCGTTGCGCATTTCATTCCCATAAATAAAATTCAAACACAACCATCCTATTCCATCCCAAAAAAACACACAACCATTCTTCCATCCTAAACTCGGACAAACTCATTTCCATAAATAAAATTCAAACACAGCCATCCCATTCCATCCCAAAAAACCACACAACCATTCTTCCATCCTAAACTCGGACAAACATGCAAACCTTTGTTCACCATAGCTAGCAAAAAAAAAAAAAAACTGAAAGAAGTTTGAAACATGCACACACAACCATCATGTTTTAGTACAGTTTCAACAATAACTTAAATAAAAGTTTTGCAAAGCAAGAGAAGGGCAGGCATCTTCAACATTACACCGCTATATCACATTCGGCGAGCCCCAAACAGGTTCGCAAATGGCGCCGACGCAGTACACTGGAGCTGCTTCTGTGTAAGCCACCCTATAATGTGGTTGTCATCAGGCTGACACATCATCACCTCCCGGTAATCTGTGTTATCCATAAGTGTCGAGGCGAAATAAAATAGCAGCGTACCAATAAGGGATGGAATATTCGTCAGCCGATGCATGCACTCCGAAATTGTGTACAGTGATTCGTTACCTGTGAGGTGCCTCACCGTAACCTGTTGATTCTGGGTACGAACCACATTTGTTAGATTGTTCATGCTTTCCGCAATAACTAACGCTTCACTTATTGCCTTCTTTGACTTTGAAACACTTGTTGACGGCGCCTTTTTCCTTTTCCCTTTTCAGTCGGAACAGGTTCGAGTGAAGAATTTGAATCCACGTCCTGTACTCATGCGAATATCGGATCAGCAAATGGCTGCGCTCCCAAACTGTGCACAGAATCAGATGAGTCATCAGTAGCTTCAAGAAGTTTCTCTCCCGGGGTCCAATGGTGCTTACCAGTAGCTGATGCCCCGGTAAAGACCATCTCCATCAAGTCACGATGTTCCAAAGTTTTTTTCCTGAACTTGGCACACACCTTGTTTATCTGCAAAATTGGAGATTTATGAAAGGGCAAGATGTTACATTTCATATAAAAAGTAATGCAGTTAACGAAAAAGGTTAAATTTATTGGTAACAGACAAATATGAAATGAAACAAACATGTACTTACCGATTCCATCTTGTCCCACCACTCCTCAGATGCCTGAAACATACCAATTTTGCTGTCAAACCCTGTCCCTAACACTCATTTTCTTGAATCCATCAACTTTGTCCACGTTTGCCACTCTTTTTTCAGATTCATGTATTTATTCTTCAACTGTTTGAGACCATGTTTTCTTCCTGTTTTTTTCTCAAATTTCCTTGCCAACGACTTGTACCCTGCTTGGCTGAGGACTAGGAATGGCCGATTTCCTTTTGTAATTTCATTTGCAATCAACTAGAGGAAAATTCGGATGGAGTCACTATCCCATGAGGCCTTGTGGCTGAACTAATTCTGTGTCTCTTCAAGACTGCTTGACTTCTCTGGAACAATGCCTTTGTTTTTGGATTAGGTACGCGGAGAAGTACGTATGGAAGCCATTACCAACAACGACGTAGCTAACTAATGTACGGTTACGAATTATCACCATCACATATTTGGTTGTTATATACAAATGTATAAGACCATAGCAGAATAATTTAAATTGGTTGCATGATGCACAATCTATGCCCATCAACAATAAACAAACAAATAGGATGCTAAATTTGACAGCATATAACCATTGCACATTAATAAAATACATAAATAAACATGCAACTGAGCGGTGGACATAGTTATGATAGTCACTAATACGTCTACCCTTTCCTAGTGAAGTAACGCAAAGCAAGCTTATAGGCATACTAACAACATACTAACAACCTCCTAACGTTCTGAACATACTAACAATATCCTAATGTTCCTTACATATGCAACAACAAAATGACAACGACAATGCATAGCACATAGACAATGGTTTTAAGGAGACGCAAGGATTATTGAATGTGTATGACATCATCCTGCAATTGCATGACAATGTCGTTTCTAGATGATGCATAGTCCGTGCTCTGTCGCCTTGGTTCTTCGCACCAACCAATCCAACTGACACAGGCTTGATGAGTGCAAATGATGAAACTATTAGTCAACGGGTTCGTAATGTTCATGCAGTTATGACCGGTAATGAATTGGGCACTCACCACAGGGCGGGGATATGCAAAGTAGGGACGCCCTGGATTTTTGGTAGACCTGGAAATCTTAACAATACAGGGGCCATGTCCACAGGCACACATTCGACGTGGCTATGTACTGGAAGTTGCAGTAGAGGTAAACGAAGTCATGCTATGTTTGACAAACATTCGAAAGTAACAACGAATCATAACAGTAATTAGTTTATGAAATCCATATTTCAGGTTAAACATGAACTTCATACGTTGATGCACAAGTTTCATTGGATGGGTATACAAACTCATTATTTTATTCATTTTATATTATAGAAAAGCGGCCTACCAGTTATGGTTTCACTATCAACGTGTTAATAGAAAGGTAAAAGTAAATTTCCTTTTCAAACCTAACAGATAAAAAAGCCATGAACACCGTGTGTTTACATGAATCAAATTAAGAATTCATGATCAAATTAAATCAATTAAATATAAATTATAAATTCATGATCAAATTAAATTAATTAAATTTACATGAATCAAAATGATAATGTACAAATACTACTGTTATAATTTACCATTTATGAAATTTATTTTTTAAAATTATTATTCATCCATAGATTTGTATAGTGGTAAACTTATTTATTAATCCACATGCACTTGCACATATGGGATATATACAACCCAAAAAAAATAATAATAATATAAAAAAAGCCACGAACACCGTGTGTTTACATGAATCAAATTAAAAATTCATGATCAAATTAAATCAATTAATTATAAATTATAAATTCATGATCAAATTAAATCAATTAAATTTACATGAATCAAAATGATAACGTACAAATACTATTGTCGTAATTTACCATTAATAAAATTTATTTTTTAAAATTATTATTCATCCACATTCTTGTATAGTGGTAAACTTATTTTAAAATTATTATTTATTTTTTAAAATTATTATTCATCCACGTTCTTTTATCCATATGCACTTGCACACATCGGATATATACAACCCAAAAAAAATAATAATAATATAAAAAAGCCATGAACACCGTGTGTTTCCTATCGAGAAATAGTCGAGACAGTGCAAAGGCTTCAAAATCAAAAAACATTTGGATAAACTCTTGGATAAGATTAGTCACCAACCCAAGAAGTTCTAAAACACAAGTTGTCAAAATTAGTCACCAACCCAAGAAGCTCTAAATACACTGAGATCTGAGCAAACAGAATTCATGCAAATTTTTTTCTCTCCCAAAAAGGCTAATCTAATTTTTATGCTTCTTCAAAACAACACAGATGTTTGTACATATGAGGGAGACAATGGCTTCAGTAATCTATCTTCATTAAATGAAGCCAACAAGGTTTGATAAAATATTTTCATTAAAACCTCTGCAATGTAACTCTTTCGTGTGTTGTTCATAACAACATACAGCTGGGAAGCTTTCCTGCAATATCAATCTATTTCTCAATTTACTTCTCTTACATTTATATAAGAACAAATCAAGAAACATTTGGATAAACTCTGTGAATCTTGATAAGATTTCAATTTTTTTAAAGCAATAAACTACTTCATGTCTATCTATTTCTCAATTTGTATCATAGATTGATCATAGATTTATATAAGAACAGATTTATATCTATCTGTTTCTCAATTTACTTCTCTTACATTTATATAAGACCAAATCAATAACAGATTTATATAAGAATAGATGTATATCTATCTATTTCTCAATTTACTTCTCAATTAAATCAATAACAGATTTATATAAGAACAAATTTTTAAAGTACTTCATATCTATCTATTTCTCAATTTTTATCATGGGTTGATCATAGATTTATATAAGAACAGATTTATATCTATATATTTCTCAATTTACTTCTCTTACATTTATATAAGAACAGATCCACATCGACTCTCAGTTGGATGAAGCCAAAAGTCTCAACTTAAATTAACCCTAATGACCATGGATATGGAAATCTCATGATCTCCATTGAGCACTTTTGTCTATAAGTTTATTGGAATTTACACTAATATGCTCTATGTAGTGGTCTTAATTTTAAATAAAGATGTCATAAATTGGATTAAGACACCAAATACCTCTTCCTCAGCAAAGATAATTATTGAAGAAAAAGGGATGAAAATTTTAAACACAGCACTGTAATTCTCTATTGTAGTAAACAAAGCACTCTAATGCTCTGATTATAACAGACCACTCTAATTTGACAGACCACTCTAATTCTCTAATTTACTTTCTCTTAGATTTACTATTTTGATCAGTGGGTGTTATTGGCCCATTTTGCACATTCATCATAGTGTACAAAACAGAAAAATTGAAGAGTATACAAACAATCTGAAATTGGAATTATTTGACTTGATTTGGGTAGTGAAACCTTCAAATCCATGTCCCAATTTTGTGTGTATCTGTGAAACCTTCAAAGTCTTCACATTCGGCAGTTGGTTTCCCACATGACAAATAAAAAACAGAGTCCAGACAAATTGGAGTCAAAAAATTTGTAATCACCCACTGAAAGGGATTTCACAGATAAACCCAGCAGATCAGGATGCAAGGGACGGATTTACGCGAAAAAGAAAACAAAATCAAAACAGAAACAACCATTACCTGAAGATCGGTGGTGTTTCAGACGACGAGTTGTTGTCCGACGCCGCAGATGTATGCCCCAAGCGTTCGATTTTGGCAAGCTTCGCGAGTCTTTTTCGACGCCGCAGATGTGTACTCCGGTGCTGATCGACTGTGGCAAGCTTCGTCAGATGTCTTCGCTGTTGAGGGTCTCCAAATCGCCTCCTTCACTCCACCCTCTCTGTGTGCCCTAGAAAATGTGTTGTGTGTGTGGTGAGGCGATGTAATCCCAATCAGGAGTGAGTGGGGGTAGTTTGGTAAATTTACCGTGGCATGGGTTGTTGCCAAGCACATGGGAGCTTCTATATACACACACCTAATCCCCTCTATACACACACTTAATGATATTTAATTTTATTACAATTTTATCGCTAAATGAAATTACTATTTTAGACATCAACCAAATTCATCTCAATGCACACATCCTGACTTCACGTTCATCTCAATGCACACATCCAAACTTCACGTTGAAGCTGAAGCTTCAACCTTCCTTATTCTTAGCTTCTTCCTCATTCATCATTGATATGGAGGATTTATCTTCTGAAAATCGGCAAATAAGTGTTTATGAGAAACATAGCGAAGGAAATGCGAGTTTCTTTTTTCTTTTCTTTTTTCTAGCGTCGTTCGGATAACCAGAGCCGAATTGTGTTATTTGGTTCGGAAATCTACTACCGAAATAATTATTTATTTTCGGAAGTTGTTGTCCGAACAAAGTATTTAATTTCGAAAGTTGTTGTCCGAAAAAAGTATTTAATTTCGGAAGTTGTTGTCCGAAAT